GATAGTTTCAGTTCGATTTTTTTTTTCTTGTTATCTGGATGTGAACTGCCTCTATACACATTATCTGATTAACACCTTTATTTTATGAAAATTACAAATTTAAGTTTTAGAAAGCTACCTGAAAATGATTATTTGTAGGAAAAATTATGTCTAAATCCTGCTTAGTATATTTGTGGGATCATGTGCAAACTTAAGACCTGATTTGGGAGGATTTAAATTCTCATTTATTTTGCTACTCTGAAAAAGGATTTCAGCCTAGACTAGGGCAAGTGTAAGACCAATCTGCAGAGAAAATAATTTAAGAGAACAGTGCATTGAGTGCTAGAATATTCATCAGTGATGCAAATATTCTATATACCTGTGTTCTATCTTATATACTGCTGTTATGAGTCTGCATATAATTTTTTGTATCTATGAACTCTTTCAGGAAAGCCATATGACAAATATAGAAAAAATATATAGTTACATTTTACAAAAAGAGGCAAAGGTATGCTTTATCATAATGAGGACAGTTTCAGTTTTTTATGCAGGGATAAAAGCATCAAAGCACCTGTGCATTAGACAGTAATATCCTAAACAAGAAAAGGAAAATGGGAGAAGATTTACTTTGTGCCCCTTTATGTAACAAAGACAACTGTCATAGTGTACACCATTTGCTACAAATTCAAGCACTTCCATAACCTAAAATTTATCAGCATGGTTTTCCTGCTGGTTATTCTCATCCCTTAATATTTCTTCAGCTTCAGAAAGTTGATAACAGGTTAAATGATCTGGGAGTCACTGTACTGCCACTGTGCACTGTAATCATTATGGTTACAAGCTAATAAGCGATTTCAGGGCTCTATTCTGTACCTCTTCATGAGGCTAATAAGAAGAAAAAAAATTTCAGTCCCTAAAAGACTGAAAAACCCATGGAAAAGAAAGCTGATGTATTTTATTGTTTGCTTTGCAGGAGGAGAATATTCAAGACAAATTGAAATAAATAAGGGGCTTTAGGTTTGAAACTAGATTTTGCTGCCTTCATAGGCATTAAAAGAGGTGCCCAAGTAAGGAAAAATTCACAAAAGACTTCCATTTTTCCAGTTGCATTTGCAGTTTCCAAGTTTTGTAGTAATAAAATGGATGTTTCAAGGACATTTCCCCTAAAGCTTAAGAAGCAGCTTCTTTATCTTTTCCTTGGATTTAATGATGATAATAACATTATTGATAAAAATAATAAAAAAAATTATGACAAGTGATGTTTTAAAGACAAATTCCAAGGCTTGTTTTGTTTTTATTTTATGGATTGTGAAAACAAGTATTTGTCAGTTGCTAAGGACATACTGGATTACCAGCCTTTGGTATTAGTGGTGATTGAGAAAGAGTGGACTTTGGGCCAGCAGTTGCCTTCAGCATAATGTAGTGGCTCTCAATTTGTTTGAAAGCACTTGTTAAGGCATTCTGAATGATTTTATAGCATTACTTTTCTGCTAAACCAACTTCTGTGGTTGCTGCAGAAATGATTGGTGGTTACTAATGACACACTTGAATACGAGTGGAAATTAACAAGAAAGTAACCTCGTAGGAAAGGTCTGTGTCATTGTAGTAGATCTTACATTCTGCCTTTCGAAGACTACAAGTCTGTAGGTCTTTTGAATTAAAAAAAAATACTACAGGTATTTTGGTGAGCTTGAAAGATGATCCAGAGGCTTCCTTTTGAAATCCCATTGCCAAGTTACTTATTTTGGGTGTTTTTGAAGTTTGGTGGGTTTTGTCATGGTTTATTTGGAATGGCATGTCCTCTTGTATTGTACTATGTGCTGTTCTTTCAGACATACTTGCTGGGGCATTGAACAAGATGGGCATCTAGCAATGAAGCAGAAACTATTTGCATGTGTATTGGTTTGATCAAAGTTACATAATTACAGCTTTTGTTGGGCATTAATCATTCATGAATAGAAACCTTTCAAGTAAAGAAAAATGTGACTCTTCTTACGACACAAAGCCAAATCTTTTTACTAGTCAGAGTAGCACTTTCAGAAAGGAGTGTTGTTTGTTCCCACCAAATCGCTGATTCTAAACTCTTATGCAAGTATAAGTTCTGCTTGGCGTGCAGTCTTAATTATTTAAGAGCTACACATCTGTCTTTTCTTTTCTAAAAATAAGCAGCCATTCTAGTATATGCGGCTCCAAGAACTCTAACAAGAGCAACTTTGTGTATTTGAACCACTTCTTATATAATTTCCACTCCTGAAATGGTTCTGTTCAAGTGCTGAAGTGATTCTAATCATGAAACCTCGGGTGTTCTTTGTTTCTTCTGTTAGTCTCTTGCTTGTTTGGTAGGTAGGAGGTAAAACCTGAAAAAAGAGTCCAAACACGTATTCAAACTGGTGATCATGCAAGGGAAGATACTTCCTTCCTCAAGCATTCTTTCCCTGCCCAATGGTTTTCTTTATTCACTCCTTCTGTGTTTTCTTAAAAATTCTTTTCTTGGCTAGTTTCTGATTTTGACTGACTTCTGCTTTTTTTTTTTTTAAATTCATGCTGCATAACTGTCTATTCAGCACAGGAACGTTTCAGAGATGGTCTCAATTTAAACATATATATAATCAGAAATTCATGCTGTTGTTTTGAAGGCTTCTCTTGTCCTGCAAGCCCTGGCCATTGAATTTAGTAGTTGCACTTTATAAGGGCAGATTTTTATGGAGAGATTTTGCTTTCCCCATTTCATTTTTCTCTGGATTCCCCACAGTGAATCGGCCTCTTGTACTGATTGTTAGGCAGAATGTCATAAATATGTTTATTTGCATCTAGAATCACCATTTAAGCAATAAGCTTGCATTGTGATGCCTTGGCACAAATGTACAATCACCTGGAATTTGCGAATGCTTTTTCAAGAATATAATGTATGCATCACAACCTGAAGCAATTAGAGTGGCCTCTTAGTTTGCAAATGTCCTAAGCGGATCACAAATGGTTATAGGTTTTGTAATAATGTATATTAATAATAATATATAATAATTAATAATGTATAAGACAGGCAGTAAAGTAGAGGAGGAAGGGTTGTGCTCTGGGTTAAACGTGAGTCATGAGCATGTAGAAACTACAGTGACTGTGGAAGCCCTATCAAATGCATCTGGGTAAAGATCAGAAGGGACATTCCCAAGGTGGGGATCTTAGATTAGGCATCTGCTACTGACCTCCAAACCAAGATGAAAAGGGCAAAGAAGCACTTAATCAGGGTTGCTTAAACAACCTTTGGATAACAGATTCTGGGTCTTTCAGGTGACTTCAACTATCCAGACATTCTTGGTAGAGCAATAAAGCAGGTCACAACATCCACCAAATTCCTGAAATGCATACAGGACTGCTTCCTCATACAAATGTTAGATGTGCTAACCAGGAATGAGATACGACTGGACTTGCTGCTCACTAACCAAGGAAACCAGCTTTGTAATATCTTGCTTAGTGATGGCTTTGTCTGCAGTGATCACAAAATTGTGGCCTTTGGGTCTGGTTGTGCACTCTGAAGGTTAATAATAAGGCAAAGGAAAATATTATGGAAAGAATCCTCCTAGGAGCCATCACAAGTCAGATTAAGCATATGATTGGGAAATGCCAGCATGGGTTCACCAAGGCCAAATTGTGCTTGACAAACCTTCTACAGCAAAGTAACCTGCTTGATTGATGTGGGACAAGCCATGGACGGTGTCTGCCTGTGTTTCTCCAAGAGTTTCTCTATGGTCTGCCACAGCTCCTGGTGAAGCTGGTGTGTAACAATCTGGACAAGCTGCCTTGCAGAGGGTGGGGAACTGACCACAGGCAGCCAGACCGGGATAAATGGCTCCTTTTCCAGCTGGCAACCTGCCACAGTGGGGTCCCCCAGGGATTGGTGTTGGTCCCGATGCTGTTTCATGTCTTCATAAGTGGTCATCCAGAGCACTTACAGTCACTCAGGGATCAAGTGAACACTTTGGAAGGGAGAGCCATGCTGCAGGAAAGCCTGTGTAGGCTGGAAGAGTGGGCAAAGAAGGACCTTATGAAGTTCAGCAAGGACAAGTGTAAGGTCTTCCATCTGAGAAAACAAATCCGGGAATGCAGCACAGGCTGGGAACACAAGGCTGGGAAGCAGCTCTGTGGAAAGGGAGCAGGGAGTCCCAGTGAGCAGCAAGCTCAATGTGAGTGAGCAGTGTGCTGCTGGAGCAAAGGAGCCCAGTGACACCTTGGGCTGCATCAACAGGGGCATCAGCAGCAGAGATTATCCCGCTGTTGTTGGCGTTTGTCAGGCCACACCTGGAATGCTGTTGTCAGCTTTGGCCTCTGCTGTACAGAAAAGACACGGGCAGGCTGGAGAGGGTGGAAAGAAGGGCCACAGAGATGAACAAAGAGCTAGGAAGCCTGACGTATAGGAGAGGCTGAGAGAGTTGGGTTTGTTCAACCTTGAGAAATGAAGATTGAGGGGAATCATCACCATGTTACAGTATTTGAAAGGTGATTACAAAGAAGATAGAGATTGTATTTTTACAAGGGGTCACATGGAAAATGAGAGGGATAATGGGTTAAAGTTACTCCTGGGCATGTTCCGCTTGAACACCAGTGGAAATGTTTCACAGTGAAAACAATCAGTCAGTGGAATAATCCTCCTAGACTTGGTGGATTCCCCAGTGTGGGGCATTTTTGAGGCTTGGCTTAACTGGGTGCTTGGCTGTCTTGTCTAGATCAAGCTTTTGTCAAGAAAGGTTGAACCTCTTGAGGTCCCATCCAACCTGCTATTCAGTGATTCTGTGCTGAGTTAGAAATCCATGTCTAAATTATTTGGGCAACTTGAAAAATTTCACTTTGTATATAGTGATTCTTTTAAATGTTTTAATTTAAAATCAGTTATTTCACTGAGGTCTAGGATGTAAAAATGATGAGGTGTTGTTATGAAAATGAGCAAAGCGTTTAGCCATAATATTACTGATAGAGAACAGAAATCTGCTTTTAGCAAACTGATGCCTGAATTCTTACTTTTTACACAGACTGCATCTTCGGCTATTAAAGGTGCTATCCAGTTGGGAATAGGATACACAGTAGGAAATCTTACATCAAAACCAGACAGAGATGTTCTTATGCAAGACTTCTATGTAGTAGAAAGTGTTTTTCTACCAAGGTAAGAGCAAGCATATTGAATTTTTCTTCAATCACATTTCATAATTAAACTCTTAACTAGGTGTTTTGAACTAGGTTTGTTTTCCAGTTCTAACAAAATTGTCTTAACGTATAATGTATGAAACTTGCAAATTATCTAGTCTTCATGTTGTCATTGAAAATTAAGATAGGGAGAGAATTATTGGGAAGGTCACACTTCATCTGAAAATTTGAGACTTACCATTTATAGAAAGGGAAAGTAATTTTGACACTTTAAATTAAAGGAGCTGTCAATTTGATTTTGAAGTGATTTGTGGATCTGACATTCACATTTGATTAGTTGTATATTAGTTTCTGAAAATAATAATGATATTTTGTTGAGAGTTTTAAAAATTTATGAAAATTCAAGTCCTGCCATTTTAAGTATAATATAAAAATTTATACTACAATGTCACCTTATATTTACACTATAAAATTCTTTCCAGGGTTCTAGTCTGTGACAACAGCTCTTCAAGCTATGCTGATTACTGGTTGTGCACCTTTACTGCTTTGCCACCTCAGCTTGTATCACTGACAAGTTGATGGTATAGAAATTGTAACAATACAGTTATGCTGATAAGGGAAGTCAAGGTCTTACTGATTTTTGGTGTTCAGAAGATGAAGTACGGTGCCATGTACCCTTTCCAAGTTACATATGCTAACAAGAGATGAAGAAGGTTTAGGAGAAATGTATTTCAAAACCAGGACGACTTACTCTGTTGAGTGTTTTCTGGGTTTTCAAAAGTGCTAAATATAGTCATTTCAGTAAGGATATGCGATCTATGTAATCTTTCCTGGATTTGGGATTGGTTTCTATCAGTTTTTCAAAGTTTTGTTCATGTGCAGTTCTAATGCTACTTCATAAGCTGTTTTGAATAATTTATAATCCCTTAGCATTTACTAGTGTCACTAAACCAAGTTAAATTAACAGTCTACAGAATAATTGCAGACACTTGAAATTTTGGTATTTCCTCATGTAAATTTCCTTGATTTTCATTGAAGTGATATATCCTTAAGGAAAAAAAAAATCTTATGTGAAATAAAGCTTTTGCATTAGCTCCTAGTAGTTGAGGGTATTCATATCCTTGTTTCGGTGTTAATGATAGAGTTTGTGCATAGGTTAGCAGTCTTTCTCTTGTAGATTAGGTAGATATAGAGAAGCTAACCATATGCATGTGTTTTCATACACTATAATCACAAAATGTTGTTTAAACATCCAACTTACAGGTGAGAAATTTGCATATTATGTAACAAAGCTTTTATTGGTGAGAAAAACATCTGCTTATGACAGAGGCTTCTGTGGTACATCAGCTTTGTTCAGGGAAACGAAATGGAGAGCCTGCATGCTAAAATTGTTTTATTACAAAGCATGGTTTGAGAAAGAATAAATTTTCTTTCTTTTTAGACATAGTTTTAAATGTATAAGTAAAATAAAATGGTTTGTAGTCCATAGCATTGCATGTGCCTTCTTTCCTGTGAGACTCACATGCATGTACACACAGAAATGAAATTTCTTTGTTTTGTATTGGTATTACAAAAGAGCTAGGAGACGTAGCTTCTGGTTTAAAACAAAAGGCAGAAGGACAAGACTGATTGCACTAATACAAAATTTAATAGAAAAGCTTTAGTAGTACCTTTCCAGACTGTAAAAAATATATAAGAAATAAATATTTTGAAGAAAATTAGACCAAGTAATGGCCAAAGCAGTATAGTTTTGCGTTTGGGTTTTTTTTTTGCATAGCTAGGTAGTAAGCAGTATATAGCACAGTGAGATATCTTGACTGTAACAAAGAGCCGCTCCATAAAGAGCACTTGTTGAAGCATTGTCTACGGAGCTAAAAGTTGTCTGTCTGCAGCAATCTCTTCAAACAACACTTTATTTCTTCTGTTGATGCACAGAAATGTCAAATTTCAAATCCTTGCTGTGTCTCAGTGTAACATCCACTTTTATTTATCTAAAAAAATTCAACCAGAAATGTATTACTGTGCATAAATTTTAATACTTTAGGATTGCACAAAATTAATATGGAATTCTTTCTTACTGGTTCAGAGTTTTGGGATGTTGTTTCATGATGGCAATTATGTGGATTGCTCGTGAGTCATGTCTATAGGTAACTTCATTACCCATGTTTAAAGTAAAAAGCAAAGGTTGCACTTTCTTTACAGCTGGGGCTGCACTCCCAAGGTGCACTTCAGGTGCTCTTCACTTTTTCCTAGGGGGTACCTACATATGATGGCAGCATTGTTAAAAGTAATTACTGTAATGACTTTTTTTTAGTCCCCTTTGGATTAGTCCGAGTTGAAGCAATTAGTGGAAATTAGTTACACCAGCAGGTGAAGTGTGTTGACCTCTACCTGGAAGTACCCTGGAGCAAACTGAGGTTGAGTAAACTTTTTGCAGAAGTTTGCAGCTGAAGGAGAACCTAACAGTGCTGTAAGAGTGGTGCTGAAATGTGCTTGCCCAGCAAGGCACAGTACTTTTCCACTTGCTTTGGGTACAATTCATATGCAACTTCAAACAGGCTGTCAGCTGAACTTCCCCTTCATTTTGGCGTCTTCACTGCAGCCTGCCTCTTCGCATGGTGTTCTGCTCCACCTTCCTCCCATGTTTTCCCTTCCTTACCTGTGTCTGGCAGCGAGGTGAGAAGACTGTTTTTCAGTCATGGGCACACCTGCTTCTTAGACAGCAACAGGGGCAGGGTGGCCAGGGTACGATAGACCTAAGCTAGTAGAAATGCAATGCAGCCTTTGCATCAGTGAGCAGAAGAATGTTATATCTGCCCTTTTATAGTTAGGGGAAAACAGTTAACACTTGTTTATAAATTTTATTCGTTGAAGAGGATAGTCTCTGCATATCTCTCAGATCCTGAAATAAACCTCAGCCAGTATCTCTGCTTCAGTAGTCATACTGAAACATTCAGGATTCATTAAGAAGGGAGAAAAACGCCAGGGAAAAAAATGATTAGGTCAGATCTAAACATAACTGCTCTGCATATTGTGGGAGCTACTGATCTAAATCAGAAGTAACTTACTGGATTACAGGTTATTCCTGGTCCAGAGTTACTCTGTAACTGTGTTAAATTGGTCAGAGTTTAGCCCAGCTTAATTTACGTGTTTATTTCTGGAAGTGACTTTGAGTGAAGTACAGGTGTCTCTGTACAGTGGGAGGATTTGAATTGCAAAGGTGCTTGCCTTCATTTGCACATTGTAATGGTGGAGAGCCTTTCATCCCTTTTTCTTCAAGCTCCCCAGGAGTTTGTATAACATGCTGGTTTTCGAAAATGAGATACTACAGGAAGCTGCTGTAATGGTGCTCATTGAGAACCACCATCCATATGAAGTTAAAATGGTACTATGCAAATTTGCTTCTAGGATGGAGAAATACTGCACTGACCTACTGATTCTGAAGATATGTCTGGAGTCTGCACCCTACTCACTGAATAGAGTGAAACCACAAGGGAAACCACTCCGAGTAATCTCTTTTCTGGCTTTTCCACTCTGCTTTGGAAATCCAGCAACAGAGGTGCTTACCTGGTGTTGGCACTGCTGCAACAGTGGCTGGAGGGTTCAGTGGGAAGATTGTTTATCGTGCATGTGCTCTCTATGCTCTGTCCTGGGACTAGCTGTGTGGGACATATTTGTCTGTCTTCCTTGGCTGGAAGCAGTTCCTGATGGCACAATTTGCTTCCAGTTAGTTGTTTCTACAATGCGACTTCAGGAATATTTTGTCAGCCCTTTGACTTGGCTGTGATGCTGGCTCCCAGTGAGATGGCCTTGATTAGAATGGCTCGTTGCTCATCTGCAAGCCTAGCTCTGACAGGCAGTGGTGGCTCAAACTGGTCACTGGGCCATGGGGCTCTGCAACTGCTTGTAAGTTGGCAGTGTTAAGCTCTTGCAGCAGACACAGAAGGAAGTGCATTTTCTGTGGTGGTTGAGAAACCAAACAGAAGCTGCTCCATTATATCAGCTAATTTTGGCTATGAAGCTTCAGAAATACAGAATGTTTCAAGCAAGATGATATGTTTCAGCCTGCATTCTTTTGTTTTCTTAGATGGAGGCTGCTTCTGAGCACAGCTGTTGAGTTTGACCCCTTTTTGCAGCAAGTTGTTAGTCAATTTTAGGCACTTCCCTTGCTAATACACTTTCATTGCAGAAATGAAATGCACTTTCACTGCATTCAATATGCAGACCCTGCATATTGAGAACAGTTGCTATGGTTTTTAATTGAGCTGGGAAGTGTGTTAGATGCTGATGACCTGTATGCACTCTGCAGCTACAGTCTGTCTATATACTGATCTAGTTAATTTACAAATTGCCTTCTTGTGATGCTAATGAAAGATTATTCATTAATAATCTTTCTGCTCTTTAATGTCAGAAGCTTACCATTGTATTGTGATAGCATTTGAATAACAGCCCGAATAAGTAGTCAAAAGTACAAAGAAAGTAAAACCTTTACTTGGCTAGTCTGGGTTCTACTTTACATCTGAAACTGAAGCGTAGTGCTTTCTAGTATGTTTTTGAGGACTGATTGAGAAACCTGATACTTAGTCTTGGAAATAACTTTGTACCAAACCTGTATCATAGGTTAGCTGATGGGCTAAGTAGTGTATTTGTAATACAGAATGCTCTACAGGTTCAGTGTGACTAGTGTTTGAATGTTCATACTGACAATGATTTGTTGGGTAACTTACACCATGATATGTGTTTCTAGTGGGCAGTTTCACAAGGAAGATAAAGAGACCTGAATATTCTGATAAAGTGCTGCTGCTCTTCCTTGGTGCTTTGGTTGCAGAGATGCACAGAATTACTCAAGTTCTTACAGGGTTTTTATGGTTTGTGGGTTGAGTGATAACACAGAGAGGAGAATGCAAAACAAATATTAGAAATATCTGGGGATACTTTGGCGATAAGAGCAAAATGTGGTATGAACTACTGGACTCAGCTGCTTCTGTTACCAACAAATTATTTGTAAACCTCTGATAACCCAGATAGGTGTATGGTTATGTAGACTGCTTACACTACTTTTCAAGTACTCTGAGATCCTGTATTTTAATTGTATTTCCAGTTGGTTATAAAATAATCATCTCTTCGTAAGTGTAAGTAAATGTTTCTGTATTTAGCTGTTACATAGATATGATTGACTTGTTGTCTTAAAGTTACTTACTATTCCTAGCTGTATTTCAAAGCTGATTTGAAGGGAACTGCTTCACACAGCATTTGGTAACCGAAAATTTAGGCAAACGTAAGTGAGAAAAAATGATATTACCACTGGACTTTAACCCACAGTATGAAGAAAACACAGACACATCTATTTGTACAGATAAACATGATACCCACTTAATTCATGTGGGAAATGAAAGAATGCCTTCCTGAAATTACATACAGGAAAGAAACATGTCAAAACATTACCTGACCTGCAGCATGTATTTGTTTGATACAGTTTTTAGAGCTGAAACACATTTTGATGAATTTTTAAAAAACAGCTGTATTCAAGAGCAATGAAACTGCAATTAGATAATCTTAGCTTTTAATGTTTGGAGCATTTAGCTTTAGACATTTTATTTTGATTTACAATCTAAAAAAGAATTGCTTTCACTAAAGAACTGAGGTGTTCCTCCTCTTCAGTTTTTTTACAATACGCACAAGAAAGTTATACATGGGGTCACAACTACAGACTAATTCTTTTGTTAACAGCTCCATCAGAGCCTTTTAGCAATCCTTAGTGACGAAAGCTTGCTAGCAAGATATGCAGCTGGCTTTCTCTGCCCCTTCAGATAAGTGTGTATCTCCTGAGCACATCCTACCAGGATGAGGCCATAGCAAAGAAAAGCTGCCAAGAAATTTAACTGGCGTCTTGTTAAGCAAATTTTTACAGCCATGGGGTTAGCCATTAAAAATGTAATTAGTTTTATTTCACTTTTAGTTTAGTATTGCACCACCTATGCTTTAATACTCTCAGCATTTACAAAGACACAGGCTAAGATGCACTTACTGTCATTTCTAGGTGTGCTTGATTTTAAAAAACCAACACAGTTAAAGTATTAAACCAAACTTGCATTTCAAGATTAGTCTCTCTTCTTTAGTCTGCCTACGAATCTTTTTCTTTTGTGTGGTATAACACCTAAGGTTATTAAAATACCTCATAAGTTACAATTGCTTCCTAATCTTTCCAAAGCCTCTATTCTTTTGTCATAGCTCATATAGAAAGACTTGAATTCCTCAAGATTGCCAGAATCAGAGCTAATTTTAAAAGTCTTTATCTTTGTTTTTCTGGTAGACCTGTGCTTAAACTAGCTGAGAGGGAAATTACATGGTTACCTCCTTTCTTATTATGTCCAAAGCACTATTTTGCAGATTTAACTTTTTTCAATAGATCATGGGCATTTTTCTTGTTCAATTTCAAAGATGTAATCATCAGCTTGGAACTCCCTAGACTGATTAAGAATCATGATATGTAGTGCTTTGCACATACTCTTTAATCCCATGAGAGTGAAACTGTAAAATGCATCAAGAAAATGTGAGAGAAACCACAGAATACATTTTTTCAATAGCTAATAGAGTGGAACGTGAATAATTCTAACTAGGGTAGGGATGTACTTACATCAAGCATTCTGTACAGTGGAGTTTGTCCTTTTCCAGCAAGTGCAAGATCATACTCAATTCATACTTGTTATATGAGCTTTAAATTGATAAGAAATTTGAAAGGTTTCCATTACTGTTAGAAATTTCTGGAAATGAGGGTACTTTTTCTGTTAAAAGTACAATCAAGAAAGCATTAAAAGCTATTTTGCAGAGTACTAACAAGGTATCTTAAATTTGTGTCAGGCTCACTGCATGAATTACTGAATTTACGGTTGGGATCAGTAAACTATTCGGTTAGGAAGTGAAGCTGAACTAATTAGTATGATGAACAGAAACAGTAGGGTATGGTAAAATACTCTGTAGACCTTAAACAGAAGGTGTTTCTTAGAGATGATTTCATAAAGAGTAAGAAAACTTGTCTGCACAGAGAAATTGACTGTTATATCTGTAATAAAGTATCTGATGTTTTCTAAATATATGGAATTTCCCTCTGTGTAGAAGCAGTTCCAAAATATTTGCTCTGTTTTGCAATAAATCTCCACTTGCTATGCATTACTGTGCACCTGCTGATCCAGCATTGATCATTTTACTCCATATGCAATTATGAAATGGCTCAGAATTGTCTTATTGTCATAGCAGATTTATGGAAGTACTTAGTACCAAAATGTAAAACTTCTTTTAAAAGAAGTTTGGATGCTTCATATTCCCAGGCAATTATGTGATACTTCAGTAGAGAACACTCTGTTCTATTCTTTTCTGCATCTTATGACAATTAAACACATTTACAAGTATGACTCCAGGTTTCCAGGGTAGCTATATGGCCACTGGGGCATCCTCATACTGGACAAAAATTTAGTGAGTCACAACCAGCTATATAAAACTTAATGTCTGAAAAATCTGGCAGTGTTCTGAGCAGCTGAAACACCTTATGAAAGACCATTGTTCTATCTTAACTATAAAGAAACACTACCATCTTTAGCTTGTATCCTACTGATTTCCATTTTTAGCTCTATAAGGGAACAATAATGCATATGTGGATTTGATTTTGATATCTTGAAGTTGTACTGCAGTAAATATAAAGTGATCAGAGAAGTTCATTAGGACTAGGCAGCCTTCACTACTACCTGTAGGGTTTAGCACACCAAGAAGCAGCAGTATTCTATAGTCTTTGTATGTATCGTTGGCCATCCACGAGCATCTTTTTATGTGTGAATTCTAGAAAGAAATGTTTGATTTTTTAATTTTTTTTCTCCTCATTGCATCTCCTGTTCAAGAGTCTGAAGTGTTATACATTTCGGGAGCCTGAGAAAGTTTGTTCACCTGCTGTCACGGAAATAGTTTGTTTAGTGGGGGCTTGGCAGCATGCATACAGGGGCAGCTAGGTGGGATGAGTAGGCTTCTATCATCAAACTGTTGTTAATGAAAGGTGGAAAGTTCATATGACAAGTATTAATTATACAGGATGAAAGCTCTTAAATTCTTTCATTATATTTAATTTTTATTCTCTTTTTCAGGAATTTTGCTTAGTGTTTATTGTTTTTTGTATCTGTGTGAATTTGTAGCCTTTTTTAATTTTTGGTGTCCTTTGGATATTCTTTTTGCCCAGCATAATGGTACATTCTGCATTACTGAATAATTTAGTTATGAAAAATGAGTAAAGAAGTGCTGGAAAAGTTGATTTCAGCAACTGTGTCAAGTCTTGAATATTGTATTTCTCTATTTATCGAACCATTCAGACACTGGCCAAACTGATAAGAACAGTAAAACAGAACAGCCTTTTACTCTTATCAAGGACAGTAAAACACAACAGCCCAACCTTGGAGAAATAGATAAAGGATGTAACCTAGGCAAACAGAAGTCATGCAAAACAAGCAGGATGCCGGCTCAGCTCTTCAAGGCTGGAAAAGTTGAAGTTGTGCAAAACAATGATACTGCACTTACTCAGAAGCAAGGGTCAAGAAAGAACACTGGACATTAAAGAAAGACCCTAAAAAACCATATGAGGACTTTTGATAAGGGGAATGATTGTCAAATAAAGTCAAGTAAGCGGGGATAGCTAATGAATATACAGTCAGTGAGTATGATAAAAACTCTGTTCACATGACTCTTAGGGTACTTGATTAGAGGAAAGATCCCCAGAATGACCAGCATGCTGTAATAAAGGCCTGCTTTCTAATACTCAAAAATGTTAGAAAGTTTCTATCTGACTGATTCCAGTACCAAAACTTTGTATAAAAGGTGGTTTTGTTTGTTTTGAAATCACAGTGTAGAACTTTACTCCCGCTTAAAAGACCTCAGTTTCTATCATAAATGAATCCATGGGCATAGAAAAACCATAGGGGTTTTTTTGAAATTTAGCAGCATTTTGCTGCTGACATTTTTCTTTACCTTATATCTAGTATTCATCTCAAGACTTTTGTAACTCAGACTAAAAATACAGTGAGATGATAAATATAAAACAAGGAGAAGAGTTCAGGAGTACAGGTAACAAACATAAGCCGTAGAGTAGCAGGAAAGCTGTGACATAGTCACACCACAGGAGCGTGGTGGGATGACCAGAGTGATGCACTGAATGGCTACAGGCTCTTCGGAAGGAGAGGTGGTGGGGTGGCTCTGTACATTAGGAAGTGTTTTGACTTTACAGAGCTCAAGGATAGTGATGGGAGGGTTGAGTGCCTATGAGTGACAATCAGGGGGAAGGCTGAAAAGGCAGATATCCTGGAGGGAGTCTGCTATAGACCACCCAACCAGGAGGAGGAGGTGGATGAACTATTTTACAATCAGGTGGCCGATGTTTCATGATTGTCAGCCCTTGTTCTTGCGGGCGATTTTAACCTGCCAGATGTATGCTGGAAATTCAGCATCAGAGAGGAGGCAGTCTAGGAGATTCCTGGAGTGTCTGAAGATAACTTCCCAACACAGCTGGGAAGCGAGCCCACCAGGGACTGGATCTGCTGCTTACAAACAGAGAAGGGCTGGTGGGGGATGCCGTGGTTGGAGCAATCTTGAGCACAGCGACCATGACACCAGAGTTTCAATACTCAGTGGAGTCAGTCTCTACCCTGGACTTCTGGAATGCCGACTTTGTCCTGTTTATGTTTAAACATGTTCTTTATGCAAATGCATACAGGTGGTGAAAACAGTAATTTCCTTTAAGGTGAGAAAAAGGAATTTGCTGGCAGTGTCTCTCACAGACATTTCTATTAATGGTTAATGGTGATAGAGAGCTTTATCTAAATTTATGCTCTTTCCTGAGCTGGCAAACAGTCAAGTTAGAAAGCTTTATGGTGAAACCAGCTGCTAATAATTGCTCAGTGGTTTGTTTTGTTTTGTTTTTGTTTTCAGTGAAGGGAGCAATCTTACCCCTGCTCATCATTACCCTGACTTCAGATTTAAGACATATGCACCTCTTGCCTTCCGCTATTTCCGAGAACTTTTTGGTATCAAGCCTGATGACTATTTGGTAAGAGCCTGCAGTTTTCCTTTGAGTTACAAATTATTATAAAGCATGCTAGTTTCGTTGTGGCAGAAAAGGATTCTTAAAGGGTGCCCTTTAATCATTAAGAAACTTTGTGTGTGGAGGGGTATATAACTAGTAAATATTTTTAATGTTTACAAAAATTTTAATACTTTATCTTTAAGATGATTTGTATAAAAAAACCTATTTTGTTAATTGACTAAGCAACATCCATGTCATTCAGATAATTTTTCTGGAGACGTTATGATCAGTAGTTGTGTGACTTTTATCAATTCAGTTCTAATTAAGTACTTTTGTGTGATTTGTGCTATGCAGTTCATTACAAAGTGAAGTCTGTAAATATTCCTGTCTAGCTTTGAGGAACATGGATGGCAGACTAAAAATGAAGCATTTTAGAATGCCTCCTTTGTTCTCTTTATTTCATAAATTGAAGACTTTTTCTATCATCCTTTACACGAGAAAAAAAAAATTACAAATTTACTGACATTGTAAAAGCAGGCTTTACTTGGTGGAGCCACTATATACACTGCTAGGACAAGTATCCATTATGTTATTTCTCCTGTAGTTCTGCTTTTTGAAGGGAAGAGTAAATGCTGAACAGGATTGTTTGATGTTTGCCCATCTTCTAGATGTTTGCCCAATGTTCAGTTTGTTTCATGGAGGGTCACCCAAGAAATCAGAGTTCTGATACAAATTAGCAACTTTATATATCAGGGTTTTATTGTGCACTTTTTGAGTGAGTTTTAAAATCCTTTTTTTCCATTATTGATAGCAGCTTCTTTAAAACCAAAAGAATTTTAAAAGGCTTGGGTGAATAAAAAAGAAAAAATTGATTAAATTATTCTGAAATATATACTACTACTACTACTAAATAAATTGTTTCTATTGTGTTCAAGGGCGCTATAATGCAGTTTTCTTCCTATATGGACAATAAGCCTGAAAGCAAAACTTAGCTGGTTTTGCATTTACAAAGTTGAATGTGTCTTAATGTGGGTTTTTTATTTTAATTCTTTAGTGCAATATATGGATTTTGTGTTACTAGTCCTCATGACAATAGTTGTATATAAAAAAAGATAATTAATTTGAACTATAAATAGTAGTAGCAAGGAAATAAAGTTGTTTGGGAATTTTATAAATCATAGAGTCATAGAATGGTTTAGATTGGAAGGGGCTTAATGATGATTTTTTCCAGCTTTATTCCACTTTCCCGTAGACCAGGTTGCTCAAACCCCCATTCAGCCTTGTATTGAACACTTCTAGAGATGGGGCATCTACAGCTTCTCTAGACCATACATTCCAGCACCTCGCCATCCTTAGAGTGAAGAATTTCTTTCTTCCATTGACCACAACTCTTAGAGTGTGACTAATTCCCTATCCACTGAGTGACCCATCCATTGAATCTACACCTCTCCAGTTTAGAGACAAGGACATAATGACACTACTATCACCCATTATGTAATGTGTTATTTATCTTACTTCTTTTTATGGACTTGGCAAAAGCTGAAGTATGTGGGCTGTGTTGCCAGCTACTAAAAAGACTGTGCTTCCTAGAGTAAAGCTGTTATCACCGACAACTTCTTTTCCATCTAAGGAAGTCTTTGCAGTAGCAGAACTTAAAGTTTATGGAAAGACTGCATGCTGTGAATAAGATTTGTGACAGTCAGTTTAAGTACAAAAAGGCTATTCCCTGAGGGAAGTTCTCAGTAAAGACAACTTGTTGCAGATTCTTTTTTCTCTTGGCATGGGAAAATACAAAAATGGTATGTGGTAAGTATTAAATAATTGTCCAGCTGTGGCTGAAGGGCATGTGAAGTAAAATAAGAGCAGGAGTTACAGCAAACATATGTGAGTTTACACAGTTAATTTGAAGTGACAAAGCTCAAGATTCAAAGCTTCACCTTTTCCAAGGAGGATAAGCAGTAACACACTGTAGGAGTCAGACAGGATAACAAGCATAAATACATTTGAACAGCTAGTAGAATTAAACTGTCACTGGAAGTTTCATGGAATACTGTCATTTTGCAAAGAAAATTCTTTATCATAAATAGTGAGTTGTCAGGTCCTGGGGATTTTCTTACCTTTTGGTTTTGATTTGCCTTTCAGAGGTGTCCAGTCAAAACTAGCTGGGCCCTTTGTATAGCAGCATTTGGTGGGTGGACTTTTTACAGAAATGCATACCACTGGAAGATGGCCAACACAGAGTGTAGGTCAATGTCTTATGCTTACTGTTCTATTGAGCCTTAATATTTAGGATAATTGCATTCAAGTGTTTGTTACAGTGACAGTTACTCATGAAGATTTAAATATTTTGGCAAGAAAAAATGCAATTGCTACAGTACAGCTGCTGATTTGGTCTAGAAATTTGTAGCGTTATAGGTTGGTATGGCCATTCTGTCTGTAGAAAATTGCAACTATAGGATTAACAAGAAAGGTATTTTGTATTAATTGGAATGGAGTAGAAGCAGGGAGAGGAAATATTTATATATCATGCAAAATTATCATTAAAATTGTAAGCCTTAGCTGGAGCTAGGATAAGAAGATGCATTAAGGCAATGGCATGAGTCCGTAGGAAACATGCTTCTTTAGCTCAAGTGCTCATAAAAGAACATGTTTATAAGATTTTCTGGTATCATTGTTTTGAAGTTTAATATAAACAGATTTTTCTATGGTTTTGAGCTTCATGTCTACTCTCCATTTAATTTGAATGAAGTTTGGAATAGCGGACACTTAATAAATGTACATTAGTCTCTATATGAGTATGGTTCTACTAGTAAGAGGTAGTCTTTGGTATCTTTTTCCTCCTTAATGTGATTGTAATTCTTAATGTGTCCTGTGGAAGAGGAGGCCTGTCTAAATATGCAACATAGTAGTCCTTCAAATTCCAGTTTTTCTTGCTTACTAGTATTGAGTTTTTCCTGTTTCAAGCCATTTTCAATCATAAAACTAGTAAAAGATTTTAAAAATTAGTAACTATACTAAAATTAGTAGCTATAGCTAAATCAACTTTATCAGTCTAATAGTTTCAATCCCAGTTGCACGGAATAGGATTTGCTTATTTATCTACAATGAGAAACCTCTCCTCCCATTTTGTTTTTCTACCATCTTGTATCTTTTTCTTACAAAAAATGGATGTGAAAAGCAAGCAGTTCAAGTGAAAATGTCTTCTCAAAGTTTTTTGACTCAGAATTTGCTATGCTGACAGCATGGAGATTGACTCCTTCGACCTCAACCACTGGCTTCTCTCCAAAGGAACATTCACCTGTTGCTTTGGGACATGAAGAGGGACCATATGCTCAGGTGCCAGCTGCTCTTCCATGGTTGTGCAGCATGGCCTGGGCAAAGTCACCTGCCAAACCTCAGCAAACCTCGGTTCTGTTGCTACCTGATCCTCTTGTGCCTACTTGAACCTGCAGTTCTTCATATTAAACTTGTGTTTGGGTAATGCATGCATTGGCAGTGAAAAGCAATTTTTGTCTCTTCCAGTACTCAATCTGCAGTGAACCTTTAATTGAATTATCCAACCCAGGTGCCAGTGGGTCCTTATTTTTTGTAACTAGTGGTGACGAATTCATCATCAAAACAGTTCAACACAAAGAGGCTGAGTTTCTTCAGAAGCTTTTGCCAGGTTATTATATGGTAAGTAATTGAAGACTGTATTTTACCACTATTTCTTCTGTTTTGTGTCGCACTCCTGAAGGTTCAGTTTCATTTGTCTTAAAATATTTCACTGGGTTTATCTGTACTTTTTGTAATGTTTTTTACATTTTTACCTGCCTTTCTACTTCATGCCCTACACACCCAAGAGAAAGAATAGCTATAAATCAATAATATATTTAAGATAAGAATTGGTGCTCTTTTAGCATTCAAGCTGAATGTCATAATCTAATTTGATACCAAACTTTGCTTCTAATAAGCTAGTAACAAAATAAGGTTTCTAAATTTCTAATTCAGTTTTTTTTTCTCCATTTTGTGTTTGTCTACCCTCTGCATTTCACTCAGAGTGGACAAAGAAACTAGACCGGTCAGTTTCCCTTTCGTTTCCAACTACTTCTAATTTCCATTTCTCATGTATTAAAGCAATGATGTAAAAGATATTTTAATCCATGTAATTTGTTCAATTCTTGATTTTTAAATGGAGCTTTTTGAGGGCTAATTCTAAGTCCATTGTATTGGATTTTGTGTGTCATCTGAAGGGAAAACCATTGATTAAAAAGTAAGAAGAATTTGATTTTTTTCTAACAAAAGCCACTCATACATACAAACAGACATTCTTCTGGGTGGTATGTAGGACTTTCTATTATTAGACTGTGACTGGCTTTTCTTACTTTGTCTTCTGAAGTAAATACTTGAAAAATTACCCTCTCACTTATACTAAAAATGAGGAATGTTGTCATTATTGCACTAAAGTAACATGGATACAATGTGTGTGTGTAAAAAAAAAAAAAAATTTAAAAAGGTGTGTACTGACACATCAAAAAGGACAACAGTAGCAGGTACTTTTTTGTTGTTCCTAATCATGATAATCCACTCAGCATAAGTTTGAGTTATTACAAGTACATATAAGGCCAGTTTGTATTGTTTCTGGGAAATTTCACACTGCTATGCAATGGCTTCCAAAGTATAAAACTTCAATCACTATGATTACTTCTGTGAAAGTACTTTGTTCTGATAGTTGTATGTTGTGATTTAGTAAGATCTGAAGTAGTCTTTCCCCTTCTTTGTTTTTCATGCCAAAGACTGAGAATAGTTGTATTCAGAATGAGGGTTTTTTCTCTCACCTGTTATCTTCTCTTACCTAATTTATTTTGCCTGTTCTGAAATTTGGATTATTTCACACTTTTCTGTTCTGATGGTCAGTTCTGATCTTGTTATGACCTCACACTCCTTTGGAAATAACTTAGTCATTTGGCACTAACTCTGAGTGTGAAAAGCCTCATGCAGAGAGGGGTTCTGTTTTTCAGAATCCAAGTCAAGATAATGAGAACTACATTTGACCCAAACTCCTTCCAGCAGGTAAAATGCAAAGGTTGTTCAGGTCAGATAAAAGAAATCAAGTCTTTGGGATATTTTTAGGTTCGGCCTACTCTGTTCTTTTCTGTCAGAAGGAGAAACCTGCCATAAATGTAGTTACTGCTCTGCTCTTGGCCTTAATGAGTTCCTGGCGAGAAGGCAGTGCCTATGCTAACTGTCTGGAACAGAAAGCCACAAAGATAATCAACTGGTTAAAGAAACTGCTGAATAAGAAAACATTCACATTTTTCTTCATGTTTGTTAATGTTCTTTGCTGTTAAAAAAAACCTCTTTCTCAAGCATCACTGAAAATAGACGTATTTAAACACATCTCTTTTGTTTTAGAATCTGAACCAGAATCCAAGGACTCTTCTTCCCAAATTTTATGGGCTGTACTGCGTTCAGTCAGGAGGCATTAATATTAGAATTGTTGTCATGAACAATGTTTTGCCACGAGCCTTGAAAATGCATTTCACATATGACTTGAAAGGCTCTACATACAAACGGAGAGCATCAAGAAAAGAGAGGGAGAAGTCCAACCCTACATTCAAAGACCTGGATTTCCTGCAAGATATGCATGAAGGGTTGTATTTTGACTCTGAAACACACAGTGCACTGATGAAAACACTACAGCGGGATTGTCGGGTGAGTATATATTTAAACTTCTGTGTTCACCTCTGCTCTAAATTTAGTCAGTACAGGTTATTAACCTCCATTTGTTTTCCGTGCTATTTAAGGAGGGATAGCTATGGATGTCAGAGCACTGATGAAGCCTGTATTTTAGTTAAGCTATTGTGATCTGAGATCACAGTCATAGAATAGAATGTCCATGTATATTTTGAACACCAGTAGACTGGGGACCAGGAGCCCTTCCCTCACTGCAGAACTGGTTCCAGTGCTTGACCACCATCTCACTGAGGAACTTTGTCCTCTATCCACTCTGAACTTCCCCAGTGCAGCTTTAAGATTTCCCCTTGCATCCTATCACCAGACACCAGAGATCAGCACTACCCTTTCTGCAACCCTCAAACCTAATATCCTCCTCTGCTCCTCACAAATCATGCCCTGTCCTTTCACCATCTTTGTTGCCTTCCTTTGGACACATTCTACTATTTGATATCCTCCTTACACTGTAGAGCCCAAAGCTACATGCAGTTCTTAAGGTGAGGCTGCACCAATGCTGAGTGTAGTGGGACAATTACCTCTTTCAAACCAGGTGGCTGTACTGTGCTCAGTATACCCCAGGATATAGCTGGACATTCTGGACACCAGGGTACATTGCTGACTCATTGGGACAATGCTAATTTCCATGGCTATCCCTCTATTTCTCTGTACATCCAGGATTTAAACTGATCCACCTATGGCAATACAGATTAATGCTGGAATGAAGTCCAGTAGATTTGATGATGATGATGATTTCCTTTAATTTGGAGATGTTCATTCCTTTCTTCTCGGGGCGTAATTTCCCATAGAACCCTTATTATGTATGATAAACTGTGTGTAGAGCTGCTGTGAATTTGTCTCTTGGTTAGCTGGGAATGGGAAGGCAGGCCTAGTGGCAGCTATCTTATTTTTAGAGAAAGGTAATTTCTTCCTCAGCTGAAAAGTCCAGCATAAAAGCTGTCCTATCATTGCTCTTTGAGAGGATGTTTGGTGAATGGAATCAATTCCTGTTATGGACAGAGAGAATTGCTGTAATTTTTTTTTTTCCTTGTTGCATGAGTAAGAAAATATAAAGTAGGAAAAGAGATACTCCTAATCTCTCAGAGCTTCCCAGGATTCTTGGGGTTTTGGAGAGAAAAAAATTACTTTCTCTGAGGGAAATCTTAAGAATTTCACAATAAAAAAGTAAAATGGATAGTCTGAACTCGCCACACAGAAGAGACACCCTGAATATCAGAGTTTGTTGTTCACTGCCACCTGTGGTACAAGATGGAAAGCATTGTTTTTGCCCATGAATAGAATTTTTTGTTTAACTATCACAGAAGTCTGCAATGCCTTGTGATTGGTTTGTAAAACTGTGTGACCTAATGTTCAGCTGCATATTCAGCATGAGACATTTATCTAACACGACACATTGTTCTCTTTGTAGCCTCTTGCAGTGAGTATTTCCTGAGCTCCTACCATGTGTGATGACACAGAATGCATCAGTATGTCACATCTGGAGATCTGGATGTCTTTCTATGCATCCCCCACTTGTCCAAGGTTACTTACCCAGTCAAAGCCTGGGGGAATCTATTGTATTGGAAATAATAGAGGGAATCTAAAAGATAGAACTGAATTGGAAAGTAAAAACAAGAATCAATTGTTTAATTGTTACATATGAAGAGACTCCTACTGATTCATTGAAAGTCTGTGAAAATTCCTACTGCATTTTCAGTGTTAATATAATCCTTTACAGTGTATATCTTAAATTAACAGGTCTAAAGTTAGTCTACAGTTCTTAAAGGCCCAGCTATATTTTAAAATATTAAAAGTAAATAAGAAAATTATCCTATAGTAATCAGTGTATTTACATAAATACACTTATACACAATAAAGTACATGCCTGTGTGTATCTGTAGATACATGTATATATACACACTGAAAGTTATATGCATATAAAAAAATTAACTGACTTCTTTTTCTATTCAAACAAGTCTTACTCTGTTGTAAAACAGAAGGAGCAGACACTTTATCTTTCATATAGCTGAATTTGCTCAGCTAAAAAGATTGAATCTGACTACCTGCCTTTTATTTCTGCCTTTAAAAAGACTAAAAATATTCAATCAATTTTGTGTAAAGGACATGAGTGTTGCCTCTGCTTTTTTCTGCCCATGAGATATTTGGATGGGTAGTGTGAGTGATAACTGACTTGAAATTAAGAATTCATTTAAAAAAAGAAATTTTTGATCTTTCCAGTATTTCAGGACTAAGAAATTTGCTTCTATGTTGCTTAAATTTGGATCATGTTTCCATTGCTCTTTTTTGCAATCAGAATCAGGAAGCAATGCACTTTTCTTCTACTTCTTAAATACAAATGTCCCTGGGTGCTAGCTTTTCTCCTCAAAATCCATCACGAAGTTCAGAGCCCTGGCAGAATTTCCTGGTAGTGAAGGATAGTGGTGTTGGTGACCTGCTGTGGTCTGTGACTGCTGCCACTGAATCTCCTGCCCTATTTAGCAATGGACCCATGTTTTCCTTGGTCAGCTTTTCTCTGTGTCTTGATATTCCTTGCCAGGCTCAACTCTATCTGGCCTTTAGCTTCCTTGACCACAGTTGCCATCCCTAGATGCCCAAACAGTTGTTTCTCTAATCCTTCTTTCTAGTCTGTCTATCCTCACCTGTCCTGTATGCTGGCTTTTCAAATTCAAGCTGTGCTGTGGATTCCTTGCTTAGCTGAATTGGCCTCCTGATACATCTGCTCAGCCAAGACAGACCGTCTTGACAACTGACATGGAGCTCCATCCTGAGGGAATGCAGTGCTGCAGTGGTGCACCACTGCTGGAGTACCAGTTCTGGCCTGTCACACCTCCTGGTACTGCTGGTGAGGAGGTGCATGACTTGCCCAGTTAGGGAATGGAGCTGAGTGGCTTGTGGTGATCCCTCATGGGCTGTTGCCTCCAGATTATCTCTGCTGGAGCAAGGACAGATTGATAGCATTGTTCAGCTTCCACATCCCCTGCTTGTTTTGTTCACACTTGAGGTGACAGGGTCTGAAAATTTGCTCACAATTCATTTTGCAGTATTTGCACCTTAACTGAACCAAGGAGTGTAATATTGCAGCATTTCTAAAGATGGAACACTCATGAGTTAATCATATATTCAATGTACACAATTGAAAATTTGAACTCGCTTTCAAATTCCAGACAACTGCTGAGACTTACTGCAGCTATCCTCTCCTTGCCTTGTTGGAGAAGCAGTAACAATTAATCAAGTTGTGGTCACGTAGTTTATAAGAGCAAAAAAAAAATTTGAACATGCTTTTACTATGGAGAAACGAATGGCTTTTGAGAGTCTGCATTTTACCTTTATGGCAAAGAACACTGGACTTTTCTGAGGAAATTACATTTTAAAAGTGGCTAACGAAGAAGTCTGTAAAGACAAGGAAATTTAAAGAGGGTCGTATCTCCTAAGTTTGAGATTTGGGTCTTATTTTCATCACTGCTTTTTTAGCCAGTTGCTACAAAAGTTTTGTGGTATGAATGCACATCTATTTTGTGCTCTAGCAACTGTAGTGGAGACTTTGTATGACCAAATGTATCCACAGCATTTTTCAAATCCCATAGTAGCGTGTGCAGTGTGTGTTTTTTCCTTTTTTCGACCTCAAAGGATCTACACATATACTTGTTTAAGCCAAATAGCTTCAGTGACCCATTCTACAGCAAATCCTTACAAACAGTAGTGTTGGCATAACTTCATGAAATATTAATCTGCAGCATAGGACAGAAATAAGAGATGGCATGGTGTGGCATGGAGATGGAGAACACACTAATCTTAGATGAAGGGCCTCTTTGTCAAAAATGGTAGTTTGAGGGAAATGACCATAGCATGATAGTGTAGATCTCTTGTATCTTTATATATTATCACTCTCGTAGTATCAATTGACATTAGGAATTTCTTGGTACTTTTACTTTTAAAATCAGAATCCAGATTGTTAGTTTTGGATTGTTAGTTAACAATATATTTTGAGAATTCTGTTGAAATGGGAAGTAATTCCACATCTGTTTTGGTGGGAATGTGGTGATTCATTTTCTTGGGATAGATTTTTTCTAAACCAGACACATTTTTAGGCACTGACATTTGTGAACTTGTTCCTAAGAAACGCTTATTTTGTGAGACAGTACTTTTTAATGTGTGTTTATTTCATATTTAAGAGTAATTATTGATTTGTTGTAAAATCAGTCTTCTTTCTGCTGTGTTAATTCCTATGCCACTTTTCCAAAATGCTTGTAGGAGAGGAAATACTTCCTTGCATGATTGTCCGTTTAGTACTTATCTTAATAAGCTTGTAATTTTTTTTCTTTTGAGTCGTATTTTTCTTGACCCTTTTATGAAAATTATCTGATTACATTTTTGCATGCTGTTTTGCATGGATAGCAAATATACATGCAGATTTCTCTGTCAGATAGTGAGTAGTTTGGGCTGGCTGCATATAAAATAAAAATGACATTTCATGGCAGAAATACTTGTTTTGTTGTTAGTCACTAGCTGAGATAGTGGAGTGTAACCATGTCTAAGATGATTCACAGAATACTTTAACATGGGATTAACTCTGAGAAAAGAGAATCTGATTCAGAGAGTTAATTTTTCATGTTCTGAAACAACATATTTTGTGATGCCATTTTGCTGTGGGTTTTTATGTGGTGTGAAACAATCTAGTGCTTAAGGCTACAAGGGGTGAGTGTCGCTTGCAATCTGGAAGTTTTCAGAGTAGCTGAAGTCAGCCTTGACAGCAGTACTTGGTGACCAAGTGACAATACTGTGTTGACAGAATCTGTGTAGCTGTGAATTAACACCTATATAAGTACTACCAAGAAGAACAATTTAATGTTAAGTTAATGAACTGAAGGTTTACTTGTCATTATCAAATACGCCACTTGTTAGCACACAGCATGATTAAGAGCATTCTTGCTGAAACCCCACAGTGCCGTTTTGCTAGCAAGGTACAGGTCAGAATGGTTACAGGAGCAAAGATTGGGTTTTTCCTCCCTTTAGCTACACAGATAGTGTATTTCTAGTGATCTCACATGGATAGAGTAAGGTATTTTGCAGGCCTTTTGCTATGAATATAATACTGTAATTTATTTGAGTGGGTTTTTTTCATTAGATTAGGTTATAATTTTCATGGCTTTGCAACAAAAATTTGCTGCTGCGTCTCAAAAGCAGTCCTAAAATCACCAAAAGTATCTGCAAACAAATCTCAGCACAGGAAAAGATTTGTGCCTTTTTATATTCTCATAAAATGTTACATGTCCAGAAATGTCTTGATGTTCCGCATTTTATAACTTGTCCTTGTTGAAACAGCTGTGTGTGCAAAATGTCACTTACATATTTTAAAATGGCCACAGTTTGGTATTTGAAATATTAATGAAGACACATGTGTGAACCCTTCAGATATATTCAGCTGTAAATCTAACTGATTTACTTTTATCAAGAAGTAAAACGGCTGTCTTAATACAGACTGAGGAGTTTGAGACAAAGCTTTGAGTGGTAATTTATGAGATTCTTCCTTGTTATTCTGGTTAATTATTTCTTACTAGAAGTTTCATTAGAAACAAACGTGGAGCAAAACATGCTTAGATATGGTCACAGAGGTTCATTTGCATAAGGAGTGGTTGGTTTGGTTATCACATTTCTCAGGGGAAGTAATCAGAACTGTACATCAAAGCTGTAGGCAGACAGGGCCAGATCATGTCGTGATATCCTGAAGACATTTTGTGGACAGTACAATGGCACCTCTGAGTAGGGCCATGAACAGAGTGTCTGGGGCATAAGGGTTCTTATGCTATGTGTTGTTTATAAGAATTTGTACTGCAGTTAATCCATTGGATGTGAAGGTATTTCAGTCCGGTAAGGAACTGTAATAACAAAACAGCTACTTGTTTTTATTATGTTTTTCAGTAATCCTACACCAAAATCATAAATTCTCAAGGCATAGTCTGTTGTACTGTACAAGTAGTATGGATTTAAGTGGCAGTGATGAATTGATGTAGTCAGAAGAATTAATTTTATCACATAAGAGTTCCCTGTGGAAGAAGGAGCAGCACATTACAGCACAGCCTCCCATGAGACTACATCCAGTCCTAGACGTAGATTATGTAATTAGTGCAGTAAAATCATGTGTCTAATGTGACCTAATTCAAAATGCAGTAAAGAATATGTTGAAGGCAGAGCTGTCAGCAGTAATTCATAACTGTAAAATAAATGTGGCAATGCTTTTCCCAAGCCTGACTAGCTGCTGTTCTGGTTTTGCGTGAACAGTATTGGTTGCTATACTTCTAAGGTGTTATTTTTCAGCCTATCCAGAATTTACTTTCAGCGTTTGATGGCAAACATTCATTGATTAGATATTTAATGAATACATGAAATTGTAATTTCTTTTTGAGAAAGTCTGAGTAAAGGGTAGCAATAAGTAAGCAGTAAAGAACTTTAGAAGTTTTTGGCACCAAGTTGCTTTGTACCTGTTAGCCATAGTATTTCTTTACAATTTCTTTACAATTTATGATTGTAAACCACTAACATTTCCACACAACACACAATAAAATTTCAGAATCTTGTGGTTAGAATACATTTTTTTGTTGTGTATTTTGTTGTGAGTTCTGTGATGGAAGATGCTGAGAACTACTAAGGGCATACATTAGCAGAACTTTTCATGTTCCATTTGAACTAAGGCATCACTGTGTAGGATCCTTCTGTGTAAGAGCAAACCCATGGTGTCTTAAAGTCATTCTTCGAGTCTGAAAATCAGGTCTGGTTTTATGTCTTTCTACATTTAGATTACAGTGTGTTATGCTTTGTTTCATCACTGCTCTGTTTATCTGAGCAATGAGTATTTTTCCAGCAATTAGGGTAAGTGATATAAAAACCTTATGATTAGACTTACAGATCCATACGAAGTTATTGATTTACTGCCATATAGTTTTTAAACCTACACAAGTGCTGAAATTGCATTTTACTTTTTTTTTTCCATTAAGAGAAGGGATGTTTCTGCTTAACCAGAAATACTCATGCTTGGATAATCTTCATCAAAAAACCTAGAATCTGCTCTTATCTCAATAAAATCACTTTTTTTCTTGCTCACTTAAAAAGATGTACTATTACCTCTTGATTCTGTGACAAAAATTACACCATTATCTCCGGGCACTATGTGCCAAAACATATCATGAATCACTGCTGAGCTGCATGAGTAGAGATGTGAGTGGCACAGCATACCCCTCCTGGCTGTTACTGGTGTTTCTCCCTCCACTTAGTAGTTCTGTTGTGTAAGACATTCAACACAGTTGCCGTCTGACAATAACAGTTTGGTTGTATTACTAGATATGATTGCAACTTGCTTTAGTTCATATTTGGGTATTGACTTAAGCTGCATTGCCTTTCAGTGACAGCATGCCAGACTATGTAATGGTGTAGCTGACTAAAAACAAATTAAAGTATTTCTGTGTGAGAGAAGGCATGCTGCCAGAGACAGAAATGGTTGGTAGAGCTAGAAGAGAAGGCTGATTGATTAAGTCATGCTTCAGAAGTAAAATTTGTCTTTTCAGTTTAGATAGGCTCTATTTACCCTAGAAGAGAGTTGCATGACTTTTGTGCTCCAATCCCATCAGCTGCTAATAAGGGAGTGGTAGCAAATACTTTTTTTCCCATTTGAAACTTCTCCAAGAATATGGTCTATGTTATAAATAGGAGGTGGAGGGGAGATAAGAGAGGACTACAGGCAAAAACGCTCTGGGAGGTCTGGAATGTGGACTAGAGATAATATAAAAAACGTTGTTCATGAGTATATGATGGAACCATTAATTGATTGTTTGCTATAAAAGAAAAGGTGCTTCCTGGAATTATCTTCCTTGACTACAAAATAACATCAGGTTACATTTCAACTATGCAAGTTTCTTTCCCACTTGTTACAAAAGCATTCAGCTAACTATAAAAGTAGCACTTTGACTTGTGTGGGACAGTAAAAGGTTTTTGCTTGACTGTAATTTCACACACTCCCTGATAAGATAAGTTTGTACCTTGAGAGCCTGTTTTCACTCAGGTTTGCAAAAGGCTGCTGTGTAATTCTTTAGTGGTTTCAGTATAGTCATTCCTTCTTTGGTAGGTTCTAGAAAGTTTTAAGATCATGGATTACAGTCTGCTCCTGGGGATCCACATATTGAACAGTAACATGAAGGAAAAAGGAGGAGAGTGTTCCCGGAGTGCATCAGATGCAAAACGCCATGGAGGGCAGAAAGTTCTCTATTCCACAGCAATGGAGTCTATACAGGGCCCTGGGAAGTCTGGAGACTCCGTCACCACAGAGACAACAAACACGTAAGTGCTGTAATCTGCTTTTAAGATTGCTATTAAAACTATAAACAGGCAAAATATTAATGAGTACACTGCATTCCAGGAACTGAAAGATTGAGCCTTTTTTTTTTTCCCAAAGATTTGCCACAGAGCATGAAATGGGAATGCTCATCAGTAGATTGATTGTCTTTAAATACCTGATAGTTCAGAGTGACTTATGTATGCACATGTGCATTCTTTTCTAAAAGAGATGTTATTAGACAGCTATTACAAGTGTCCCAACTGTAATCTAATTTTATATGAAGCAGTCTGGTGAGAGCAAAGCAAAAACTATAAGTTAACATTGAAATTAATATTCCTACAGGGGTTGTTTTCATCTTGAAGTAGTATACTCAGTGTACATAGAATGATATCATCAGCCACTGAAGTGCCAGTCATATATTTCCTGAGATTAAGAACTGATGTTTTTCTTCCATTTTTCTGTCCAGCAAAAAGTTTAATAGAAATTTGACTAAATAAACAATCATTATTCTGGTGTTTCCTTCATAATATATTAAGTAGTATGAAAGCATTATCATCATCATTCAGCATTGCATATAATCAGTCCTTCATTATAATGAGGATTTAATTTTAAATTAAGGATTTACTTTTCTCCTGGTTCTCAAAGGAGCTGTGTAGGTAAATACAATTAACAATATAGAAATCTGTGCTTAAGCCTACAGCAAACAAGTGAGAGATTTTAATGATATTTAGCATTCAGAGAGAGTTTCCAGACACTGAGAACTCTAGACTGCAATTAGATAGAGATTTATTTCACTTGGTTTTTACAACTCACATTCAAACAGAAGACGGCCAGTGCTTTTGTTTGATGGCAGAGGTGTTGCACTAGCTGATTTCCTACACCATCTGAGCTAATATAGTGCTACTCTGATCCTGGCAAGTGTAGTCCTTCCTTGGCTCCTTTGCACTGTCTCTCTCATATTGGCATAATGGTAGTGGAGCAAAAAACAGTGCTGAGGATCTAAAATGGACCATTTTTCTAGGTGTTGGAGTAGGAAGAGAGGGTCTTAGAATGAAGGTTCATGGCTCAGTACAGACCCTGGACCAACTAGAGGCCCATGCAGTCAGGATTCTCAGCTTGATCCTGTTGCTTTATCTGTCACTTATCTGTCTGTAAAGAAATTGTGGAAAAACATCGGTAATACATAATTTTTAGTGAAAAATATATGAAACAACCTTTTCAGTCTTTGGTTAATGTGCAGACTCTCTGTGATTTATCACCTATGATCAATAAAGTGAGAAAATTCTCCCTTATCTAAAGTTACGTATTCTCCTTAGCAAGAAACTGATGTATACCGTCTCCCAATTTTCAGATCATCTGAATATTTCCAATCTATCTAAAATGTATCTTAAAATATTTCTCCTTTTTAAATGATGGATATTTACCACTGAATCCCAGATAATTCCACTTTTCTATTTAAAATCCGTTACCTGCCAGGTGACTCACATTTGACTAACTTTGCACTGTGGCATCTGGCTTAAATATTGTCTATTCCTTTGGGTTTCCAAGTGGGTACGGTATAGCTGGTAACTGGTGATCAGAGATGTCTTAAAAGATGTTCTAACTATGTTGTTTCTCTTAGAATGGGAGGTATTCCAGCAAAAAGCCATAAAGGTGAAAAGCTGCTTTTATTTATGGGTATTATTGATATTCTCCAGTCTTACAGGTAAGCTGAACTTCAACTTTCAATGAATTTTCACTGAGTAAAATATTCTGAAATCACTTATAAAAATGGAAGTTTTATAAAGCAGTTCTGATTTAGATTTTTGTACATTTAGGTTAATGAAGAAGCTGGAACATTCTTGGAAAGCTCTTGTTTATGATGGGGTAAGTAGATCTTACTATTTTTTTAAATGGCTGATATTTTAGCTGGTAGACCTTTGACCATGTTGACAAGGAAAGAACTAATTCTGGTATATTTGCAGTCTAACCTCACCATGTGGTTTGAACTGCTGCTGAAATCTTCCCAATACGTGCTCTGATTTTATTTGTTGAGCTTTCAATTACAACTAATAATATTAGTTTGTCAACACACAGAAGTCTGGCCACATAGCAGAACACTGATGAATCTATAAATGAAAAATATACAAAATTAAAAAAAAAAAATTCAAATGTTTGGAAGATTTTGCAGAATATAGCTGTATAATTCATAACTTATAATTTCATAAATGGAATACCTAAAAAGTTCTTGAAGAATTAACCTTTAAAAGGGAAAAAAAGGTAATGATTCACTAGTTTTGATTATGCCTAAAATGCATAATGTAGTTTGCCTGAGGTGTCCAGCTTCTTTCTTGACGCCTTACTTGTGATTTACTTGTGGAAAATGTGACTGAGATCTCTTTCAATCTTGTAGGATACTGTTTCAGTTCACCGACCAAGTTTCTATGCAGACAGATTTTTAAAGTTTATGAATGCAAGAGTTTTCAAAAAAGTTCAAGGTAAGAACGTAGTGAATTCTACTCTTTTAGATATTTTTATAATCATAATTTTATAATGCTCCTGTCTTGGTGATAAAACAAGCGTTTCTTCAAGATCATATAGCACTTTTATAGCTCCAATCAAGAAACTAAATTTCTGGCAATCTGGATTTTACTCTATTAGCAAAATTACAGACAATTATGTACTATGTATTTTTGTCACATCGGGGCTATCTAAAGTTGGCTTCAGGTGACCACCTAGACTCTCTTTCACTCCCCCTTGTCCTGGTTTAGGGCGAATTTGGGAGAAAACTTCCAAAGGGCCCCCCCCCAGGAAGCAAACCTGAGCGGCCCCTCCCCCAGCTGGTTCGGGAAAGAAATTTCTTCAGAGAGAAGTGGTAAAAACCTGTTTATTCAACAGGCACAGCACTGCCCAGCACAAAAAAAACCCCAATACCGAACAACAAAACCTCTCAGTGCTGTGAAGAGATGACAAATTCAGAAAAGCTCTCTCCTGTGGGGGTAGCTCGGCCCAGTCTGGGAAATGGCGCTGGCCAGGCCAGGCCCCGGGGGCCGAAGTGCGAGCTCCGGGTGCTCACCCGGGCCCCCAGTCCAGAGCAGGGTCAAATAATTCCAGGAAAAAAGAAAAAAAAAAAAAAAAAAAAAACTTTCCTGGGAACTTCTCTGCTTCAGCTAGTCAGAAATTAACAAAAAGCAAAGGAGAGCTCTCTCTGCTGTCCAGCACGGTGACACAGTCCAGGAGGACAAGACGATGGAACTCCTGTATCTCTGTTTTGAAAACAACAGCCTCAGACATTCCACCGCTTCTCCTCCCCCCTCTTCACTCTCAAATCCAGCCTTAAAGGTACAAAACTTATTTCTGGGCTAAACAGATAAATGGGGATACAATTCAACATGACAAAGTCACCCCAGGACACCCCTCTTCAACTAGACAGAGGAAAAGTTATAACAAAAGGCAGGTGGGTTCATATAAGGACGGTGAGAGATCACTCACCAATTGCTATGCTGACTCAACTAAGGAAAACTAATTTAGTGTCTTGCTAATTAAAAAAAAGTTTAGAGACACTTACTAACAGGCTTTTTCCATCAAAAGTTCAGATCAAGTTTTATTTTCACTACCTTTTCTACCACTGGAAGTCATACTGGCCTTTGTTGCTCTTCGTGTTGTCTAAGGATGATAACACTTTTCTAAAGACCAATTGAACTTGTGAACTCTGAGCCTGCCCATGAAAGCCAGTGTAAAAGGCCTAACAGATCAAAACAAAAAACATGATTATGTGTAAATGCATATGAAAGAAGATGGAAAACTGATAATAAAACAAGAAGGCAGAAGTGTTGCTGATAAGTATTTTGTGAAATTCTAAATAAGAAAAATAATAGGATAGACAGATAAAAGGAAAAGTTTGAGTAACGATACTAAAACAATTAAGATATTTTAAGTACAATGAAGGAACCTTTAAACGAAAAAGAAAAATTGAATTTACCCCAAGTAGTGATTCTCTGCATGCATGATATGCTATGACAGCTTTCTAGGAAAATAAGACTTTTTGTGCTTCTTATAAATATTAATGAATTGATGGATAATTTCTCTACAAATTGACCATGCTCCTGAAAGGAAACTTAATCTGAAGTGTTGGTAGTGCAGAGAAGGATGGTGATGGGTGACAAAAGAGACCTGGACAAGCTCGAGAAGTGGAACCATGGGAACCTGACTAAGTTCAACAAAACCAAGTGCAAAGTGTTATATTTGGGTTGAGGCAAACCCAGATACCAACACAGGCTGGGCAATGAACAGATGGAGAGCAGCCCTGGGCAGAAGGACTTGAAATGCTGGTGGAGGAGAGGCTGGACATGACCCAGCCATGAGCACTTGCAGCCCAGAAAGTCAGTTGTATCCTGGGCTCCATCTAAAGCGGTGTGGCCAGCAGGGCCAGGGAGGGCATTCTGCCCCTCTGCTCTGCTCTCGTGAGAGCCAGCTGGAACCCTGCATCCAGCTCGGGGGTCCCAGCACAGGAAGGACATCAGTGTCTTGGAGTGAGTCTAGAGGAGGGTCACCAATATAATTAGAGGGATGGAGCCCCGCTCCTATGACATCAGACTAGGTGAGTTGGAGATGTTCAGCCCAGAGAAGAGAAGTCTCTGGAGAAATCTTGTACCAGCCTTCCAGTACCTAAAGAGGACTTAAAAGAAGGCTGGAGATGGACTTTTTAAAAGGGCATATAGTGATAGGACAAGGGGAAATGGCTTTAAGCTGAAGAAGGGTAGATTTAGGTTAGATATTAGGAAGAAGCTCTTTGCAAGTGAGGGTGATTAGGAACTGGAACATGTTGCCCAGAGAAATTGTAGATGCCCCAACCTGGGAGTGTTCAAGGCCAGTTTAGTGGGGTTCTGAGCAAACTGCTCCAGTGGTAGGTGTTACTGGGATCAGCAGGGTTTGGAACTAGATGATATTTAAGATCCCTTCCAACACATGCCATTCTGCGACAGCTGCTGAGATGCACTCAATGTATGTGCAGTAAGGAAGTCTCTAATAAATATACTGGCAAGGCAAAGATGAGTGCTTGGGGTTTGATGAGGTCCAGGCTGTTCTTTGGGGAAAAGCTGTTCTGCTTATGTGAGCAATGAGGTTTTTTCCAACAATTATCACAAGTGTTATAAAACCTTATTGTAAGACATACAGATGAAGTGTTTTAAATAGTGTGCATACATATTAACTTGCTGCTTTACTACCAGATTATTTTTTAAACCCATGGAGGTGATGCTGAAATTGCATCTTTTTGTTTGTGTGCATGTTTCTTTCTAGTAAGAGAAGGGCTGGTTTTGATTACCCTCTAGGAGAGTGTTTTCTGAGTTGAGTTTTTTTTAATGAAGCAGTGTTCTTGACAAGTAAGTATTAAATGATGGGCTAGAATTATCTGCTTTGTAGAGAAACTTGTACTTTAAAATGGGTTTGAGTTAGCAGTTTCATAGTCCTGCTCATGGAAGTGTATTCGCTTCAGAGTTTGAGTGTCAAAATGTGCAATGGATACTCAGCTCAAATACTACAGGAGGAGTGTTGAGCATATGGTACTGTTTCAAACTGATAGAAGGTGTTTTGCAAATACTTTTTGACCAGTATTATGCAGGTCTCTTAACATTTGCATTAGTTATCTGGAGTGAGAAACAAGTCTGTGTGGACAGAGAGAGAACAAAATACAAACACTAGAACTAAATAAGATTTGAATAAACCAAAAATTACTGTGCATGCTAGAATAAATTAATGATTTAAAGTGTTGAAAGTTAAATCCCTTGGAAAAGATTGACTAATAAGAAAACTGAAGAATCTAATGTTATGCGACAAAATGTGAAGCAAAATTCACCTTAAAGGAGAAAGGAGCCTCCTGAGACTCAGTTCTCTTTAAATCTTAGAATAATTTTGCCAAAGAACTGGTAGGTGTTCTGCTGTCTGAGACAATTACCAAAGGAACTCTTCTACGTTGGTAAAGAATAAAGAGTGTCTGCTCCTTACCACTCAATACTCCTGTTTAACAAAATAAATGCCATATATTTAATCTCAACATTCTAATTCTGACTGCTAGATTTGTTCCAGGACAAGACACAACTTGTTCTGTGTTTGAAGCCTACAATGTACAATTAAAGGATATCAAGCCTAATTTTCTCTTTGATTTTAATTAATCTGTATAATTTTTCCAGGCTGTTAACCTAAGTATACTACTCTTACTGATTAATGTACTTTTATATAGATTAATGGCTCAAATGCATTATTATTCTTTCATAAAAAATTGGGAGTGTTCCTGCCTTCAGGAACATTATTTCCAAGCTTTGAGTCAGACGTTTCAGTTTAAACACTTAAGACCTGTTCTGAATCTTTTTTTTTCCTCGTGCACAGAACAACCATGCATAATTCACAACAAAAACTTAATAAGTGGGTTTAGCCTTGAGCAGAGGCTAGCTCAGCATCTACTATGTTCTTTTTTAAAAATACCCTGGAACTATGTATATGATTATTTTCTTCAGTCTTTAGCGAAGTGACATGATGTGTTTAATTTGAACTTTGTAGTAAAGCAGTGAAAGAAGTTTTGTAGTGCATCTTAAGTAACTTTGCATCCAATGCATGTAGATCAGCAGCCAGCAGCTGAAAAACACTAAATGAAATAGCTGGCATCCTTCTGGAGAAGAACTACAGGTGGGGGTCATGGTTCAATAGAAGAGGCAATGATCATTGCTTGATTCAAACTGCTTTTTAAATAGGCAGGTCCTGCTAAGAATTATAAAAGAGGTGCTGATACCTGAACGTGTAGGCCATCAAGATTTTGGAAGTGTTTATTGTACCTAAAAGAAATATTTGACACATGAGTCTGAAGTGGAAATTCTGCAGTATCATTGCATAGAAGTAGTTAACAACTCAAAAAAAGATCATACCTCTCAGAATACTCCAAATGTCTTTTCTGTTTTCTTATATTCTGGGGTTTTTTCCTGTATCATTCTGTCTCTGATTACATGGGTTGGTACTCCACAGGAGCTTTTTGACTTAGTGGTGCCAGTGACTTGACTTATTGTCCTATAATAAACAGCAAGAAACTGAAAAAGACAAAAACACTTCTCTTGCAGATGAAATAACAATACTTTCCGCTCTAGTTTTAATCTAATGTTTGTTAAGTAGGTTTCTGGACATGTTCTTTTCATCTGTATTCAAAACCGAGCCTTTCTATATGACTGACTTGTTCATATGCTGTTAAAGATGTGTAGGGAGATAAGATTACATCATTCAACACCTTTGTTCATTTGGTAATGCAGCTTTAAAGCCTTCACCTTCAAAGAAGCGATGCAATTCCATCACAGCCCTAAAGGCAGCATCACAAGAAATAGTGTGTGCAGTTAGCCAGGAGTGGAAGGATGAAAAGCATGGCATTCTTGCTGAAGGACAAAGTTATGCCAGCCTCGATGAAGAAGGTATTGTCTTTCTAATCAACAACCTAAATTAAGTTTTTAAAATTTTTGTGTAAGCTCTAGAAGTCCTGTAACTAGAACACCATCAGTATGGCTGAGCTCTCAAAATCAGAGTCATGTAATTCTTATGGAGAGAGTAGTTAGTAATATTTGGCAAAATGGACCTTCAGGAGCAAGACAAAGTCAGAATCAAAGTTTGTAATAAGATGTTAAACTTTCAGATTTCAGGACATCCTGAAAAAAACTTATTCAGCCCATGTATTAAATTAATTAGAGCCAATGCTCTCCTTTTCACTGACCTCTAAACAAGTGTGTCACATGAAGTGTTTTGAAGCTCAATTCCTTGTTCCCAGAGTCTTTTTGAAGAGATACAACTTTGCCCCTTTCAGAACTTGCCTGCAGCCATGATGAAAGCAGAACCGATTGCCTAATCCAATCTGATAAATGAGCCTTGGTAGCATGAGAATAGTCTCCCTGGACTGAGAAGAATTCATAACTCAGGCCTCTGCTTAATATTTGACCTTGGAGTTACTCTGTATTCAGCTGAATGTGCTTGTTAGCAGCTAAAATTCACTCTGTAATACAAAAGAGTGTGGGTATGGGCATATGAATACTACAATTTTATCAATTCAAACATTAGGAAACTTAAAGAAGCTGATGAGGGCACTGTGGGACTTGATATACTTACATGAAGAGTCCTGGGCTCAACTTAAAATGAAATTTGTTCTTTATTTCTGCATATGCAGTGCTAGGTTCATGCCGCCGGCCGGACCTAGTGCCAAGCACTCCATCTCTTTTTGAAGCAGCTTCCCTGGCAACCACACTTTCTTCTTCTTCCCTGAATGTAGATGAGCACTGTCAACGTGATCAGCCTACACTCTATTCTAGCAGGTAAAGACCGTATATATTAGAGGATTGCCCACTGTTCTGCGAGAAATTTAATTTCTGTGCTCAGCAGAAGGGGGGTCTGCAAAATAAGAAGCAGAAGGGGCAAGTGTCTCTGTAACTCAGTATTTAGCCTTTCCAGTGAAGGAGGGGTGCCAAAAGTCTGTAAGATTTATCATCTATTTGTTTGTAATTATACACATTGTAATTGGGGATCATGAAATAGAAAGCATAAACATGGCGAAAAATGTTATATTAATTTTTCTTCATGTTCCAAAATGAAATTGGATATCTAAACTTTGCTCTGGCCTTAGTCTGTACCATAAACCAAACTACATTAAGGTCAGCGTAGGAAGTACTTTTCATAACTTCGCTGTTGCCTAAAACAGCTGTAGAAAATGGTGATGTGCTAGTAAGAGGAAAAACTGTACTTTTATTCTGAATGTACAGTGCTGAATGGTCTGTTTTAAATGCTTCTATAACAACCATTTTCTGAAGTAAATCTCTGTGAAACTTCACCCATAGATGTGATTAGAGCCTGTCTGATTTTAATCCAGGAAGTAGAAATACTTAATGTCTTAAGAAAAGTTGTGCAGATACTAGTGAGCTAGGCTGAATATGATTTGAGTTGTGCTTGAATGTATTTCAGCTGTGTCTGTTGAATGCCATGCTTAAGCCAGTAAGTCTTGCTGGGAGATCATCCCTCTATGTGCCTGTATGCTTCCTTGTGCATCTGAGGTGTGCTGTGTTGTGTCACCTTGCCTGCTTGCCGATCTCTTTAATATGTATTGAGCTATTCCTTTGCCTGTTTTCATCAAGAAGGGTAGCCACTCAAGCATCTTGAATATTGTTTGGAATAATTTGGAGTCCTGAACCACTCAATGTATAAATTTGACAAATGCACTAATGTGCCAAGACATAGTTCTTTCCTGTAAACTGCATGTTGCCCAAAAAATCAAGTTATTTTAAAAGCAGTCTTGAGGCAGTAGGATTTTACTTCCTATTAAATATTTGACAACTGTATTTACATAAAAAGTAAAATGACTTGCAGCATTACTTGATGAAAGTGATATAAGTCCGAGTTCTGTTTGTTTGGCCACAATAACCCCCTGCAGTGCTGTAGGCTGGGGATGGTGTGGCTGGACAGTGCCCAGACAGAAAGGGACCTGGGGGTTCTGGTTGGCAGCTGGCTGAACATGAGCCAGCAGTGTGCCCTGGTGGCCAAGAAAGCCACTGGCATCCTGGCCTGTGTCAGGAATAGTGTGGCCAGCAGGAGCAGGGAGTTCATTCTTCCCCTGTACTCAGCACTGGTGAGGTCACACCTTGAGTGCTGTGTCCAGTTCTGGCCCCTCAGTTTAGGAAGGACATTGAGATGCTTGAGCATCCAGAGGAGACAACAAAGCTGGAGAGGGGCTTGGAACACAAACCCTGTGAGGAATAGCTGAGGGAGCTGGGGTTGTTCAGCCTGGAGAAAAGGAGACTCGGGGGTGACCTCATCACTCTCTACAACCTCCTGAAAGGTGGCTGTAATCAGGTGGGGGTTGGTCTCTTTCTCCAGGCAGCAGCTGACAGAACCAGAGGACAAAGTCTTAAGCTGTGCCAAGGGAAATATAGGTTGGATATTAGGAAAAGGTTTTTTACAGAAAGAATGATAAAGTACTGGAATGGTCTGCCTGGGGAGGTGGAAGAGTCAGCATTTCTGGATGTGTTTACAAAAAGATTGGATGTGGCACTCAGTGCCATGGTTTAGTTGAGGAATTGGGCTGGGTTTGACTCAATGATCTTAAAGGTCTCTTTCAACTTTGTGATTCTGTGTGATATTTACAGCTTCCACTTCCATTAAGTTGAAATAAAGCTCTGTTGTGGCATCTTCCATATGTCTGATGGTTTGCTATAAAAATGTGAATGAGGCGTATTTTCGGGTGTAATGGAGAGAAAATTTTAATTGCAGAAAAAAATGTTTCTACACAAGCTTGAGGAAATAAAACTACTGATGAATATGCATTAGTAGAAATAGAGCTCATTCACTTTAACTTTTGTCAAGTTATCTGTAGGTCTTCAATATTCATGATCTTCCACAAAGCTTTTTCTTTGACAGAAATAAAGTTACATAGTACTGGAGGGTTTTATTTGCTTTAAGCATCAAATAAAACTACACAACTGCTTTGTATCAGCATCAGTCAGGAAAAGAGAATGGTGGAGTTGTCTGAATAAAGAGTTCAGATTTAAAGTATTTCAAATATTCTGTACTCTCTAAAAATTAACTGTACAGTAAGCCTATGAATAATTCCATTAGATTTTACTGTAAAGATACTCCAAAATAATTCTAAAATAAAGTTTTTAGCAGGTCTACACTTTGATTGTTTATCTAGACTCATTTCCTTTTCCAGTTGTGATTCACTCAATGAAATACCCTCTAATGCAGGACATGTTGCCAGCTATGTGATTAGCATGCTTATCTTCACAGATTGTTAGTGTCTGCAGTCCAGGTATGGACTTCATCATTACAAGAGGGCGTGTTCTCTTACACAGTAGACCTGATACCAGCATTCATAAATGTGTGGTTCTCCCCACATTTTCTGCCAAAACATCTACACTGTAGCCAAGAGATCTGCCATAGGGGCTTATCAACTAATATATTTGCTGGTCTAGGTGTGCTCTCTTCAGATAGGGCCTGGTGGCAGTTTTTAATTCTCATTAAGTAGTGGCGTGTGTCACAATCTCAGTAGGTACAATTCATGAGGATTAGCTTCCCTGCCATAGCTAGTGGTTTTCTCTTAGAAGTTAAGAAAGCTGCTAAGCATGCTCAGTATGGAATTAATTTTCAGAAGAATCTGGGCACCTGCTGTTTCGTACCCACTTCTTTTGGCATCAGTTCAGGGAGTTTGTTCCTTTTTCTTGGTGCTAAATAATATATACATCTGAAGTTTTATTTATGTTTATATGGCTCACTGAAGGAACTTCAGTCCTCCCATTTAAAAAGCTAGCAGGGAAATAAACCCACCAAAAAAACCCATGTTACAATGATGCACTGAATTTTAGATTCAGATATGATTTTTTTTCTTGCCAGAGTTCTTCTTTTGAGTATTAGAAAATTACGTGATACTGGACTCCTAATTTTACCGTTAGTCTCTGATAAACAGAAAGCTTGAAGCGGTCTTTGAAACAAAGCCCGAATAAAAGATTTCTTTACAAATGTGAGTCTGCTTTCAATCTTTAAATATGTAATTGACTACAATATTCTTCTTTGTTATTTAATAGAATTACAGTTTGGCATCGTCTTCATCAGGCTTTTTCCTTGCCCGGCAAAATAACATAGCACAAAGTAGAGAGTTGGCTCGTAACCTGTCAGAAATTTCTGGTTTAAGGTGATAAAGGAGGAGAGTCCTGTGTACATAGTAATAATATGACATTTGTACAGCTCCTTGACTCTTACTAATGAGCAGTATGTGCCCATACCACTTAGAAAACAGATGGTAGTCTTTCCTCATTAAACAGAGAACAGTAATACTTTTGGGTACCTTAAGCACACACCGTATTTTCTGTTTGAGTTGGGTTTTTCCTTTGGAATTACCCTCTGTTTCTGTTATCCAATGTAATACTTCACCAAGGAGAGGCAAATGGCTTATAACATAAGAAAGGCAATGAGCACCATCTCTCCTTGAGAGAGCTCAGCATTTGTGGTAGAAAGGGAGAAACTACTGCTGCTGAGGTTAAGCAGACAGAGGTGACTTGCTGAGGTGGAGCCAGCTCCTGAAGCCGTATCTTTTGAGGAGGGCTTTTAGGTAAAGCTGACTTGGTACAGATTAGAACTAGCATAACTAATAGGTAGAAAATGGAAAGCTTTTGGGGACTTGTGATTAAAGTGATGAAAAAGACTGAGCAGCAGTCGTAAACATACAGCTTATTAGGAACGTTTTTCCAGGCTGCAAGCTGATTATTTTCACCAAGTTATTCCTCAGTTGTTAAAAAAGTAGAGAAAACCCAAGGTGCTATCCAGACAGCATGAAGAGGAATTAGAACAAATGAAAGAGTAGTGTAGAGGGGGAAATGGCTGTATTTTTCAGCACAAAATGGACCAGTCCTTTTTGTGCTGAAAAAAAGTAAAAAAAAACAATCATGACATATGCTATTCAGAAAATGTAGGCTTTCTTGTTTGTCAGAAGACAGCTGGTTTCTTTTTCATGAAGCTGTTTCTCAGTCAAGTGGTTTTGACATAAGCAATGTCAAGTATTCCTTTAGTAAAATAAGAGACTTGACAATTTATTGTTTCTATTAAAATTTTCAAATATTTCCCTTTCCTCAAGTAGGTTTATATTTGGTGCAGAGATATTTTAGTACCTAAAGGGTCTGTTTTCCACTAGAAAAGGTCATTATTAGTCCAAAACCACTTATTTGAGAAGGTTTATTTGTTTTATCTTAGGAAATGTAATATGTATTATACTAGGGATTATTTTTACAGAAGTGATAACAGATTTTTTTTTTTTTCCCCTTCCAGGAGAAGCTTTCCTATTAATACTGACAAATTAAATTAAAGATGACAAATCTGAATGCCCTAAGCACTATGATTCTTGTTTCACTTGACATTGCTTTTAGAATTGCAAAGGGCTGAAGGAGGTCAATGGTGCTTCTGGAAATGTTTTAAACTTGCTTTAAAATATTTTAAAATGTTTCAAATTGTAGATGTTTTAAAATTCATGTTTTAAATATTTCAAGAATACAGGAAGTCTTTTTTCAATGTATTTTTCAGCAGGTCTCATGGGACTCTCCAGTACCAAACACAAAGAAAATCCCATGATGCATAAAGGGATGCATCACCTCCCTCTTTAGAGCAATCCCAAAATACTGTGGGCTGTATAAGAAGGACTGCTGAATTCTTCTTATACACCTGAGCCTAAGGGAAAAAAATCTATATGAAATCTAATTCTTCTTTCTCTTTATGCATTCTGTGCCTCATTTCTAAGATGTATATGTAGTCTGGACTTCTGCTTTCTCTTTCTTCTTCTTCCTTCTCATCTGTATATTTTTCAATTTTTGTTTGTTTGTGTTGCTGTTTCTTGGTGGAGACAGACCACTTCAAATTTTGAAAGGCTTTGAGGGATTGTGGGTTTTTTCTCTTATACAATCAAGCTTCCTGCAGCATAGAGACTTTGAAATGCTGTTCTGCTTTTTTTTCCAGTGACAGAGATTTACAGATACTGGTTTTTCTGTTGTAAGGAATATTAAGCACCCCTTTTGCCAATTGAAGTTCTACATAAACAAACTTTTGTGTGTTAAGTTTCAGTGTTCTGTCTGTCCACATACTACTGCTAGCTTCTGAAGCTTAGACAACTTTGTCTGAATCTGATTCAAAGTGGATTAAATTCACATATGTTTCATGATAATAAGCAGTTGGGTGGAAGAAAAGGAATGTTTAAATGCTATGAACAGATGCACTGAGACACTGAGGGTATCCCCATGGGAATGAAAATTTGACCATGATTGAAGTAACATGTAATTGTGGCTTAAAGTAAAACAAAGCTTTCCCAGTTCTCTAATGATGGAATTATTTTTGCTTCTTTTTTTTCTTTTCTTTATTAAGAACCAAGATCAAATAGAATTTTTTAGCCAGAGGAGGGCAACAGCATAGTTGAGCATGCTCCTTGTGGCTGGTCATTACTGAATGAGAGAAAGTACCTGTAAAAGTGCTTTTTTATTTTTGGCTTGGCTTTTCTTTTTCAGCCTAAGAATTAAGGATGAGAACTCAGTGCACTGTAGAAACTGTATTAAAACTCTGTTCTTCTGAACTGTTCTTTCTGAAACATTGTGTGTGGGGATTTCACTTGTTCTCTCCTGTGCCACCCCAATATGTCTTTGCCTTATCAATCTGCATTAAAACTGGCAATAAATGCAGCTATGATGATGCTATTGAAGAAATCTGAACTTCAGTTACCAGCTGCTGACAGCATGTGTATCACTGTTAAGAGATTAATTACAAGATTTTTGTTTTTACTCTTTTATACTGCTCAATAGAATTCAAGTTACACATATAAGAATCATGCTAAGTCAATGGGACCTGGGTCATCCTAGTGCAAGAGAAATAGTCTTGCTTTTGAAAAGAATGTCCAGTGCATTGTATGATAAAAGGAACATTGTAATGCAGTGAATATAAAGCTCTGTTGCAGTATGACGTTGATTTATTATTTTGTTGAGCATTTGAATCTCAACTTTGCATGCTAGTTTTTGCATGTTGAACTTTGCATGCTAATGTTGCCCTTTCTGAAGTTCTATCCCATCTGAAATATACTTAAAGCAGTGCAAAGGAAAGGGGTAGTTAATCATATCTAGATTGATGGCTTGTAACCATGTTTCCATGCCAAGTTATAGTTGATAATTTTTGTTTCTCACATTGTCTGCAAATAGATAAGAACTTCTAAAATATGTCTCTGCACAACTGACAGTTGAGTTTTCAAGGCAGCCTGGAGCCCAATTTCTGGCACGTAGACAAGACATGCAGTAGGGAACATCTGACTCCATTAAAACACCTTTGAGAATTTCAGCTTTGTTGACCAACTGTGTTACAAAATGAGATTTCTGTGGAATTGCATTTGCAGTTTTGCATTATTTCTTTAAGGTAGAGAAGAAAAAAATCAATCAATGAATAAAGTAATAGAGTGCATCTTCTCTGTAAACATCACTTCCTTGCATAAGTGTATTAATTACAATACACTTGTTTTGTCCTACTATTCTTTCTGAACTTATGGCTGCTAATGATCTGTGTCTGCATGGAAAAGTTCAATATTACTAATGTTACGATGTGCCTAATTGCTTACTCTTTTTTTCCCTATTTTGAATTATAAAATGCTGCCAAAATTTACACCATGTGTAATGTGGAAGTTATGTATCTTGAAATTAATGAAATTATGTGACATTTACTGTGACATAATTTCATTCATTAAATAAATACTAAACTTCAGGAATAGCTTTAATTTCTGATAAAATTTTAATAAATACAAAAATAAAATCTGATGTTTCTGTACCATTAGTCAAATATGAGCTTCCAGTTATCTAGCCATTGCCAACATATCTATATTTATTTACATTCCTTTTTCCCAAATATTTGAAGATTTTTATGTTTAATAGAGAAACTTACTTTTAAATTTTCAGTGACTGAGCTTTGTAACTTGGACTTTTGGTTGATTGTATTCTCCTTTCTCTTTGCAGTAAAGGGTTACCTTCAAGTTCAACATTCACTTTGGGAGACAGTGCCATATATTTGACTTCAGAACAGAGCACACTGGAAATGGAAAATGATAATGCTTCAGTTTTGGATGTCTACTTAGTAAGTTGTCAAACTATTTCTGATGGGCTTTTTCACCTCTAATTGCTTTGACTCAGGTTCAGTAAGTGACTAAAATACCTTCTTAACTTCAAAATTCAGAAGTTTATTGAGGTATTTTTTATATGAAACGTGTAAGTTTGCATAGGTCTGATTTGCTAAAGCAAATCCTTGAAGAATTTATATGCCTATTAACTATTGCATTATTAATGAAATATATCAAAACATCTTTCAGTCTTTCCCTAATGGTAGGAGATCTTTTCTGTTGTTTTCTATTGTAGGAAAAAAACCCAAAAACCCAAAACAACAATAACAAGAATAACAAAATCTTTCCTTTTCATGCAGAGTACTTCACAATGTAGAAATTAAATTTTCTCAGATTGAAAAGTTCTGCATTTATGTCACTGATTTTGAAGCCAGTAGAGCTCAGTGTGAAGTACATTATTGGACCCCTTTTCTGCTTTGAAGGGTGGTCCAATTGTGATGGCTGATTAAAAACATTTCTTTGCTGTTTCAGTTCCTAGTGAGCAATTTAACTGACTACTGAAAAATAAGGTCAAGTCTATCTTTTTTTGTCTTCACATCACCTGTGTTTCAAAAATTCTCTTGGTACGCACAGCTCACATTCCACAGACATAAAGGCAGTAGGCACCCAATCCAAATTCCAGTTGAGTGAGTTTTGTGCATCGAACTTTTTAGGCTGTTCTGAGAGTGTCAGTATAAATGCAGGAGGCATGTATGTTAAGCTTGGCTTTTTTTTCCAAAGACTTATTTTCATAAACCATAAACAATTCTGACATTATTCTAGTAATATTTCTCTTTGACTATCATGGCAAGAATTGTACCAGAGATGAAGAATCAAAAGAGGGAAGTTTGTTCATGTTTCTAATAAATGTTTCACATGGTCGTTTCCTTTCTAGATAAAATTGATTGCATTCTTTATTTCTCTTATCCCTAGAGTTACCTGATCTTTGTCTTAGGAAATCCATAATATCTTAGAATTATAAAACAGCTCAGGTTGATGGGACTCAAGAGATTCATCCACTCCAACATTTTGTGGAAAAGGCACCCTGGATAAGATTATCCAACAACTTTTTCCATTGCAGTTTAGAAACCTTCAGCAATGAGAACTCTGCCACATCCCTGCAGAAGTTTTTCCAGTGACTGATTCTCTTGAGTTCAGATGAAACATGTTTGTGTCTGATCTTATATCAAGATGAAATGTGTTTGTCACATTCTCTTTTTCTGTAGGCTGTGCCACTGATGGTTTTTTCCTTCTTATTAGCCAGCAAAGCTTGAGTGTGTATAGTACAGTTAACAGCTACTAAATTAATAGTCCAGGACACTTAGGGAAGTTATCTGTCCTTCCTCCACTGACACAAAACAGTAGCAAGTACCAGTGGCCAATTAGATATAGAATTTATTTAGTTAATTGTGACCTCAAGTGTAGCCCATTGAATCAATCTACTCCTGTAGGATTTGTGTTAATTTGGCTCATTGCTAGTACAATGTGGACCTGAATCATCTGTTCAACAAAGAGGGACTCAGAAATCCTAATATGTTTTGGTAAGTGGACAAATGACTAATAACACACAACCTAACCTTGCTAGCAGATTAGCTGACTTAATGAATTATGCTTTTAACTAAGTAACTTAAGAGGAGGATCAAGAACTGTGACATCTGAATGCTCATAAGCAAAGCATGGATGAGCATGTAGGTGTACTAGCGTAGGGGGGGAATGCTTCCCAACACTTTGCAAAGGAAGAATCCTAAGTCCAACCACCTCAAGTACGTGCATGCCAAAGCATGAATTCTGGCCAAGAAGAGGAACTGCAGATTCATGCCTAGTCTGAGAGTTATGATGTGAAAGGAGTCGCAGAAGCTTAGTGGGAAGACTCACATGACTGGAAGATCACAATAGATGTCAAACTCTTTTCAAAGACAGTAAGAGGAGGTGGAGCTGTACTTCATAAAAAAGAAATCTGGGTATATGAAGGTAACCTATGGAGACCACAAAATGTTTATCAGATGTCTTAAGATCAAAATTAGATGGTTCATCACAAAGAAGAATCTTTTTTTATGTGGATGTTCCTAGCCTTCAAAGCAGGATGATGAGGCTGACAAAAACTTACTTTGGCTCTTCAAGCAAGTATTGAGCCAAAAGAACCTGGTCATCATGGGTGACTTCAATTACCCAGGCATTTGTTGGGAGAACAGTACAGCAATGCACAAGTTGTCCATGAGATTCTTAGAATACATGAAGACTTGCATCCTGCTAAATGTGCTGGTCGTTTTCACTAGGAGCAATGCATTGCTAGATTTACTGCTCACAAACTGAAAAGACAACTTCAAATTATATCTCTGGGTGCAGCAATCACAACAACGTTGTGGGTTTAAGATCCTGCTGAACATACTAAAGACCAGCATTAGGAAAAACGCTCTGGATTTTAGATAAGATAGCTTTGGTATACTCAGAGCCCAGATATGAGGGATTTAACAGGGAGCATGTGTGGAAAGCAAAGTGGTATGAGAGTGCTAGGAGTTTTTGAATAATATCCTACTGGAAGCAAAATAACAGTTCACTGCCTAAAAAAATGAAGGAAGAAGACAGAATGAGTGACTATCTAGGCTTAACAATGAGGTTTTGAGTGCTGTTGAAAGAAAAAGGAAGCATACCTGCTACAGAAGGGTGATCAGGTACCCACTGGGGACTACAACATCCTTGCTAGGGATGTAGAGTTGTACACATGAAGTTCAAGGCTCAGCTGGAACTGGAAATGGCCAAAGATAGCAAGAAGAAATGATTGATCAGATATGGAAGCAGTTGTACTAGTTTGAAAGCAAACCAGTGGGCAATCCCAAGTCAGAAATACAAGTGAAAAGGAAAATGAAAATAAATGCAATAACACAGAAACACTGACAGAATCAGGATACGATCTGACACCCCATCCATCACGGTGTTGGTAGCAGTCTGATTAAATGGTGGCTGCAATCCTGTTGAAGTGGTAAATATGGTTCTGTTGAAGCAGTGATCCTGTAGAAGGGTCTGATCTTTCTCTGAAGGTCCAGTGGTGGTTATGGAGCTCTTGTCCTCTGGGAATCCATCATAGGAGGTTTGCAGCTGGACAGTGATGATTGATACTCTCATCCAGGCTCCCTTTCCTGCAAAAGGTTGAATTAGATGGCATCTTAAGTCCCTTCAGCCTGGGCTGATCTATGGTTCTTTTGGCCCCCTGTAAACAGTGAAACCATTTCTTCGTGATAGCTTTTGAATTTAGTTAATAAAGCAACAATGTTATTTAACAATAATACTGCTTAGCACTGTGAAGTCCTTTTTAGGTTTGAAGTCTGTAGGGTGGATGGTGGAATGCTCTGAAAGTTTAGTGACAGGCATAGGTAACACCTTTTTTAAAGCTATCTGTATGAGTTTCACGTGTGATAACCATATCTTGAGTTAGTTTTCAGCTTGTAGAACATTCATTACTATTATGTCTTGGAGAATGCAGTAAGTATGTGTAGTATAAGTAAGTATATTCCACTGAAGTATATCAACAGAAGAATAATTAAAACCCAACTTTGGATGTCATACAAATATCCAGTGTTTATTCCCCTGAGCAAAAGTCTGGAAGAATAAATAGGTTTTAAATTGAGAGAATCATAGATGCTTTTTGGAACTAGTAGCACCCTTTCTCTGCTTCCTGAAAAAAAAACAAATTCAAAAGTCAATAATCAAGGTAATGGCACACACCTGAACTGTCTAGGTAAGCAGCAGCTGACATCTTCAAGGAAATTGGATACCACAGCTAAGCACATGTTACTTCTTAAGCAGAAGTTACTTATCCCTGCCTTCTCTCATGTCTCACACGCTGTATTGATGTCCACTTAACTGTTTTGAGATGGCTGTGGAAGTGGTCTGTAATTTAATCACATATACCCTATATGCATCCTGAGGTATTTGTGGAAGAAACAGGAATAGGATTATAATTCTGTCTACTAATCTGTTACTTCCTGATGCCCTGCAATATCCTTCATTGGGCCTGGAAACAACAATTAGCCTGTGGCTGGGAAAACCTGACGATACAAGTGTAAGTGTGGAGCAGAAGGCAATTTTGCTTGTATAGGAGGATGATTAAATGCATGTTAGAAGGAAAAGATACATGTTTTTGAGAACACTAGGAACAGGATAGTCATTCTAATGTACATCTCAAAAATAAAGCAAATAATGGCATTTGCATTAGCTGATTTAACCTTCAGTTGGAAAGGTTACAAGATGTACTTTTAAAAGGGCAAAATGCAAGCAGAAAAATGTAGTTTTAAATAGCATTCTCAGATTTTCCTTTAATCCTGTGATTAATAATCTTTGTGTTTCTACCACAAGGCAAGCTGCTGTAGTCTTATCCACTATATATTTTAATGAAAAATACCTTAACTTGCTTAACTTTGGACACCATTAATCCCCCTTTTATGTCTTTGCCTTCTGCTTTAAAATGCTAAAATGCTAAACCTTTTGGACAAATTTTAGTCCACAAGTAAATTAAGGACTACAAATTTTCAGTCCCATATATAGAAAAAAAAAATTGTCATAAAATGACATTGTATTAATCTACTATAAAGAGCAGCTTTAAAAATGGCATTCTCTCAACAGTTTTGTGTCGAAATTCTAATATTCAAGTAAGATGAGGTGGAACAGAGGTTGTAAAAAAAAAAATTTTCTTACAGGTAATAGTATTGGGTTTGAGGTGTTACATTAAGGGAACTCCATGCAAACTCACACTGTGCTGCTGATGCCAAAACTGAGAATGTAGCTGGTAACAAGCAATTTTTGTTCCAGGACAGAAGTAGAGATACATCTTGGGCTCACAACTGAATGCTGGTCTGAGCCCATAATTTTTTAATTCTGAAAAAAGACCAAACTAGCATTTTGTTCACCTCCTACTCTAAGAAGCACTGTTAGGTACATTCTCAAATTAAGTTTTCTTTTACGTTAAATTGGTTTATTCTCT